TTGTTTTACCAGTTCACATGATTTACGGATTTTAAATAAAGGATACAAATCTTCGCGAGGATAATACGATATATTTGCTATATATAATAATTATATTTTACATAGTTTACACACAATACATTTTTGAACGCGTACGCATCTTAATCCGAATTTGACGCGGAATATCTCCAATGTCCGAGGTATGTAGGTTCGCAGTGTGTACAACTGCACTCGATTATTAGCGCTGTTGTCACATCTACATAGTGTTTATGCGTTCATTAAATATAATTTAAAACTACTTAAAATACGATATTTTTATGTTGTTAATTTTTAATATGTATGTTATGTGCATATTGAGTACATTTCTTTGCTATATAGATATGTTTATCGCAATTAATTTCAATAGAATTAAATTTTTTCAAGTTGGTAGCGGGTTTTAGTCCCATAAGAAAAGCATAGGACCCCCTCTGTGATCCTCACTTCCCTTGGACCCCGATATACCTCCTTAATAACATTCATACCATTTCAGGAGCCAATTTCTGAATAGCTTCAAGTTCCTCTTCATGTATGTACCTAAACTTATTCTCTGCTGGCTGCATGCACAATCGACATATTTTCTGACTATCTGAAATATCAAATAACTCGCTTTTCTTTTCCTTCATGTAAAGTTCTTCTAAGTGGAGCTGTACCATTTTTTCGCTATCCACATATGGAATAATTGTGTTACTGGTATTCAGACATTTTGACTTAAATTCTGATGCTGCATATAATTTTCTTCTGCAAGCGTTACATATAACCTCTTTAGTGTCATCATCCAATTTCTAAAATACAAGTAACTTTAATCAAACGCAAAGAAAATAACTATGGCAAAAAGTAACAATTGAGTAGTAAAAAGATGAGTATTCGCTTTGTAGGTGTTAAGACTGTTAAAAGGTGTTATGTATTAAGATAGTAGACTCTAATACATTTCACGAACTTACCAATTTCAACAAAAGAAAATGTAGAATGTCTCTAGTAGCGTCGTCTATTACTTCAAAACTTTTATCAGTTACAGTTTTAAGGCAAAGCCTACACAAAATTTCTCCACCACCACTCATGGCAACAATTTCCTTTAAAATGTAAAATTAGTACCGAAGTTGGTTGTAAACATATTATAACATAACCTCAATTAACATCAGGTGAATAGTTTTGGGTCTTCTTCTTCTTCTATCCTCGGAACAACAAGACGGTAATACATGTTTAATATAAATTAAACTAACTTATTCTTGAACTCAGATTACGCATAGATTTCACGGTATACCAGTAACCTGTCATTAGATAATGGCGTAGTCTAAATAACAGAGGTATTGACTTGAAGCCGAAAAGTGGGGCAACGTACCAGCGTATTCATACGCATGCGTTTACTTTATAGGTTTTGATTGGTTGAAGATGAGTAAGTCTATGTAAGTCTTCTTGCGGATCACTTAAACACTCAATTGATTTTAACAAATTGCATTCGTTCAGTCAACTAGGAAAAAGCTCAAGCACAATTCCTCTGATTCCATAATTTTACACTGCGTTGAGAAGCTTGTCATGGAGCAGTGTTAAACGAATTAGCTAAATCTAAAAAAACTACAGCACATTTCTTGCTAGAATTCAGATCGTTTCATTTTTCTCATATAGTTTCAGGTCGTTTTTGCTTCCAAACCACATCTAACTTGGTTAGCTTGAGATTTCTATTGTTAAAAATCAGAGTTAGCTGCTCGACAGTTCTCACGATTTTTTTTTTTTTTTTNTAGTGAACCGACCTAGACAAAAACTTTATATGAAAGACCTACCTTAAAATTCACTAAAGAATTCGAGGTTTCATTTTTTGTCACTGTTTGTAAATCACCATGTAGTTCATTTGTAAATTGATGTCATTGGCAATGTTTCACGTATAATTTCTTCATTCACATTATTACATTTTCTGAAAATTCTAAAATTATATTGTAACGTATGAATCACGATGAAGTTCCGACGTCAGCTGTTAAATTTCAAAATGAATGCTAACAGACAACAAAAATTTATTTTGTCTCTGTCTAAAAAAGGACAGACACATATCGCTGTCCTCTCGGGCTCTGGAGTCAAGTAGTGGGGGTAATTTTCAATCTCTTACCAGTAAAGTTGCCTATGTGTGGTTTTGATTGATTGAAGATGAGTAAGTCTATGTAGAGAACGAAGGCAGAGATTTTGAACTCTATATAAATTGTGATTAAAAAAATTTAACACATTTATTCTCCATTTCAATGTTTAAATAGTTAGAAATTATAACAAATTTATTACAAAAATTATTATTACTGGTAGGGGCACTATTTTGATCAAAATTAATTATTTCCTTTTACCACAATATACAATGTTACAAATGTTATTACGATACTATTGTATTAATTAAATTCAATTAAACTAAAGCAAATATTAAACTATCCTACAACATTACATTTCACAGAAATTACAATATAAAAGATAAAGGAAAGAAAGAAACACATCTAAGTGAGTTAACACTTGTTTTGTGCAAATTTAAAATCAAAAGATAGATTTACCAAATGTGTTAATGTTACCAAGCTATGTTCCCTATATATAAATTACTCGATAAAATTAAAAATAGCAAATAATTGTCACTTATGTAACTTCTGCAAAGAAGGGAAAACTTTCAAAATTCTTAATTCTAAAGGCAACATATAAAGCTTTGGAGCTAGATGTAACGTAAATCTTAAATCTATGGTTTATAGCAAAATGGCGTTTGTATTACTTCGTTTGTCATGCTGCCTGTTACCACAGTATTCGATACAAATTATTTCTCTTTTTTAAATACAAATATACATAAAGAATGAAAATATAATGATCTAATGTCACAGATTCCATCTGTACAAAGTAACCTTGTCGGATACAATTTGTTTTTCTTTAGAACAATTTTTAAGATATCATTTTGCACAAGATACATACTTGTTTTAAAGCCATATTATATAAACCACCCCATACAAATATACTATAACAAAAATTCGATTCTACTCAGGATTTATAAATTATAAGCAAGAATTTTTTGGTTAAAATATTTCTTAACTGATAGAATCCATAAATAAGTTTTCCAACATTAACTATTAAATTATTTATATGTTGTTCCCATTTAATATTTTTGTCAATAGTGAGACCCAATTGCTTTATAAAAACTTATTTTATTTTCATATTAAAACTGTGAACATTAATCATATCAAAATCAGGTCTAACCAAATTTTGACAGCAGTTATACCCTGCCTCATTTGATCTCGTATGCTCTCCCAAGTTTTGCCACTAAAGATAACTACTGTATCGTCAGCATATGATACTACTTCACCATCAATATTTAAGGTTAATGAAGAACTGATCTTGAGGGTAGAAAGTACGGGACCACTGCTTGTTCCCTGTGGCACACCCATTTTCACTTCTTGCGGATCACTTAAACACTCATTGATTTTTACAAATTGCATTCGTTCAGTCAAATAACTAGCAAAAAGCTCAAGCACAATTCCTCTGATTCCATAATTTTGCACTGCATTGAGAAGCTTATCATGGGGCAGTGTCAAACGCCTTAGCTACATCTAAAAAAACTGCAGCACATTTCTTGCTAGAATCCAGATCGTTTCATTTTTCTCATATAGTTTCAGATCGTTTTTGCTTCCAAACCACATCTAACTATTGTTCTATTGTTAAAAATCAGAGTTAGCTGCTAGATAGTTCTCACGAATTTTTTTTTGGTCTGGTTTTAGGAGTGTCTCTAACCCTAATAATCATTAATACTATTTTACCCATTTTTATTTATCCAAATTTAACAAGTATTAATTGAAATAAAATTATTTTGTCATACTTTTTCTTAGAATTAATTTACCCATTAAATAAGAAATTTTACAGTAAATTGCAACAAAATTCTACTCCGTTTAGTTATGTGATTTTACTGTATTAGTGTGTAAGATTGCAAGTTTGCTAGAATATTTCATATCAATACTTGTAATCGACTGATAAATACAAAGCTGTATTTCGAAGAAATTTCCCGGTGATTCGATACTTTGTAACTTTGTTGCAAAGTACAGAGCAAGCATAGCATATTTGAACGTCGTTAAGAAAAAAAATTTGTAATAGTCTACAAATTTTGCAGTATGAAGGGCTGTTTATGTTGCAGTTGATGCTGTTTGATAGCATTCTTGTATTTACTTTCGTAATCACAGTTATTACACTTGTACATTGTTTGTGCACTTTGATATACCTCTTCTATATAGCTTTGTAACTGCAGTCCTTACACCTGTACATTTGAATATGTGAAGGATTCATATCATTCAATTTGTGCACTTTGATATAACTCTTGTATTTAGTTTCGTAATCGCAGTCTTTACACTTGTACATTTGAATCTGTGAACGATCTTTATGCTTCAGTTGGTGCTGTTTGAAGTAACTCTTGTAATTAGTTTCGTAATCAGTCTTTACACTTGTACATTTGAACCTTTGAAGGCTCTTTATGTTTTAGTTGGTGCTTTTTGACATCATCCTTTAATTTAGTTTCGAAATCACAGTAGCGACACTTGTACATTTGAACCTGCGAACGCTCTTTATGTTTCAGTTGGTGATCTTTGATATTACTTCTGTATTTAGTTTCGAAATTGCAGTCATTACACTTGTACATTTGAACCTGTGATGGATCTTTATGCTGCAGCTGGTGCCGTTTGAAGTAACTCTTGTATTTAGTTTCATAATCACAGTCTATACACTTGTACATTTGAACCTGCGATGGATCTTTGTGCTGCAGTTGGTGCCGTTTGAAGTAACTCTTGTATATAGTCTCGTAATCGCAGTCTATACACTTGTACATTTGAACCTGCGAACGCTCTTTATGTTTCAGTTGGTGAATTTTCAAGTAACTCTTGTATTTAGTTTCGAAATCGCAGTCTATACATTTGCACATTTGAACCTGCGAAGACTCTTTATGTTTCAGTTGGTGATTTTTGATAGTACCCTTTAATTTAGTTTCGAAATCGCAGTCGTTACACTTGTACATTTGAACCAGTGAAGGATCTTTATGTCTCAACTGGTGCTCTTTGATATAACTCTTGTATTTAGTTTCGAATTCGCAGTCTTTACACTTGTACATTTGAACCTGCGATGGATCTTTATGTCTCAACTGGTGCTCTTTGATATAACTCTGGTATTTAGTTTCGAAATCACAGTCTTTACACTTGTACATTTGAACCTGCGATGGATGTTTATGCTTCAGCTGGTGCTGTTTGAAGTAACGCCTGTATTTAGTTTCGTAATCGCAGTCCTTACATCTGTACATTTGAACCTGCGATGGATCTTTATGTTTCAGTTGGTGATTTTTGATATTACGTTTGTATTTAGTTTCAAAATCGCAGTCTTTACAATTGTAGATTTGAACCAGGGAAGGCTCTTTATGTTTCAGTTGGTGATTTTTGATATTACCCTTTACTTTAGTTTCGAAATCGCAGTCGTTACACTTGTACATTTGAACCTGCGAACGCTCTTTATGTTTCAGTTGGTGATTTCTAATATTACCTTTGTGTTTAGTTTCGAAATCGCAGTCGTTACACTTGTACATTTGAACCTGCGATGGATCTTTATGTTTCAACTGGTGCTCTTTGATATAACGTTTGTATTTAGTTTCGAAATCGCAGTCGTTACACTTGTACATTTGAACCTGCGATGTGCCTCTGAAGTAATTTCTCATTTTTTGTTTCGTACTCACAGGACTCACATTTATACCCTTCCAAATCATTATCCTCCCTCTCGTGTCTCGCACAATGCACCGTGAAACGGATCTCACTTTCAGTTTCGTAAATACATTCATCACATTTGTACAATACTTTGCGCTCCTGCTTGGTTTTCACTTCTGATGCATTCTCATGTTTACATCCATCCTCTTCTTCATCTTCACAGTCATTCTCCTCGAATGGTGCAATATTGGGGCTCTGAAGTGGTGTGTCGCTGAAAAAATGGCAAATACAGAGTATTTTTGAAAATCGGGTTTTAATTTTAAGAGATTACAGGTGACACATGCCAAAATATTACGTTTCACAAAAATTATTCTAATAAATAATTCCTATCGCCGCACCGTCACTCTTAGCCTTGATTGAATTGTGTTATTAAAAAGGAGAGTAACTTTCAAAACATTTTCACAAACAAATATTCAATTACAAGTTTATGAAAATGAAATGCAAAAGAACCAAAACAAAATGTATGCAAAAATAACTATATACAGGGTGTCCGGAAATTATGCGTCAAGACTTCAGGAGGTGATTCCTCACAAAAAATTAGGGTCACAAAGTCCTATAACAATTTTTCGAAAACTCAATATTAACGGAGATACAGGGTGTCAAAAAAAATTTTTTTTAGTTTTTCTTGGATAACCTTTTTATTTGTGATTTGATTTTTTCCAAGTCTTTCCTATGTATTACTAGTGCCCTTGTACGGCCTAACCTGGCCTTAATCTTCGATCTATGGCCCACAACTTTTTTGTTTTCATCGCTTTATAAATTTGAATGGCACCATGTTAAAGAGTATCAAAAATTATTTAAAAATGTATCTCTTGTTGCGATACAATAAAATGAACCGTTTCTGAGAAAAACGACTTTTTTATAATTTAATGAGTCTGTGTCCCCATAACTCCGCCACTGGTTGCTTGCGGGACTTCTACTTCTATGGAAAAATGGTATCTTATAACAAGATGTGTCATGCCAAATTTGGCATAAATAGCCTTCTTTCTCGAACTTTTTTAAAAATCTTTAACGCCCTATATTTCGAAAATGAAGTCTGGAAAAAAATTTATACTTGATTTTTTCTTATTTTTTTATGAGGAATATCTCCCCAAAATTTGTCGACTTAATCCTGAAAAACCCTGTATGTTGGTTAAACAAACAAATAACAATTTTTTTAACTTTAAAGTTTATTTAACAACAGATTTCATCGTTTTAGAAGAAAAAATATATTTTTTTTTTGTTTTTCTTTAAATTTTATTGCAAATCCAACGTTTTAGATAAAACAAAATGGTCCATCTTCAGGCCCGGATCCAGAGGGGGTGGCGATGTGGCGATCGCCACCCCCAAAGCACAACATTTTTTAAAGATCTTCAATTTCTCCAAACGACAACAGGCAGTTAGTCGATATTAATGCAAGTAGAAGGATTCATTAGTGTCAAGCTCCCATGAAAGAAGTGCTTTGCGCCACCCCCAAAATCAGTCTCTGGATCCGGGCCTGTCCATCTTAAAGTACAGTCTTCACGCTTCAAGAAATGCTCCACTAAAGTTGCAATATCATATTCTGAACTAAAGTTATTGGACTTTGAAACGTGACCTAAAAAATTAAATTTACCTTTTTTTAAATTATTGAATATTTCGTTGTATTTTTCAAATTAAAATTTTAAGATTTTTTTTATATTGCTCACTGTTTTAAATGCCATTTCAAGAGCAATTCCTGAAAGTTTTAGATTTTTATCTTAAAAATTAAAAAAATGGCAGATCTTTAATTCATTTTGTACAAAATTCTACCGTTACATATCTTTATTTACACACTATTCCTGTAAATATATTTTTTCGATTTTAAAATCATGGTAACTTGTTTGCTACAAGATTCCTGTTTCATTTAAATTTTTGTGGACCTAATTTAATCAAATAGATCAAAAGTTATAACAAATTTATGCTTTACATTTTCGTATGATTTAAAAAAAATTCTACAACCTACGGTTTTCATTTTAGAAAATAACCTTATATACATTTTTCATGTAAAATTTCCCGTTATTTCGATTGGCGCTATTGGAAATTACATGTATATTTCTTAGTATTTATGTATTTCAATGAAGCCTTGAATAGAAATTTTATTAATATTATCTAGAATGTAATAACATGTCATGTGTCAATGTTCAACAACATTTTTGAATAAAAAGTTCTATTAAAATCAAGAAGAAAAGCTAGTTTTCTTCAATCATATCATACAAGGTTCCTTCGACAATCAACAGGTGCAATTAGTTTTTTTTTAAAATTGAATTTGTTAAGATATACCTACAATAAACAATGGAATTTTGCAACTAATTTATTAAATAAATAATCATGTGTACACTCTACGGTTGGTAACTTTTTAATGTTGTTCCTAACACCCTCACAAGTTACTCGATCTGCTAATTTTTCCGAACTCAAAATCTTATTTTACTCCACTAAAGTAGTCACAAAAATGAAAGGACAAAAAGAAAATCCTGAATTTTTAGGTGATTTTCAAAAGGCGGAAAATAGTCGTAAAGCAAAAAAAAATTCAAAAACAAATTGAAGCTTGAAGTTTATATTTTTATCGCCAACTTTAAGAAATCATAAGAAATCCAGCGGGAAATTAATTTTTATAATTTTTGCTTCACTGTCAAAAGATCCATATGTCTCAAGATTTTATTTTTTTTAGTAATGTCAGCTCTTTGATTTGAGTTTGATTTGAGCTATTGAAGACCTTTATATGATGATTTGTGGTTGAGTTATTGTCGGTCAAGGTAAAAATAATTTTTTTGGCTTTGGTAATTAATTGCTTTGGAACCAGTGATAGTATACAGAAATTCTAAGCAGAGTTTTGATAAGAAACGACTGATGCCAAAGGGGAAAGGAATTACTTTGTAGTGAGAAATGCCGATCAACATTACAGTCTCATCCTGCTCTGCTTTTTTACAGTCCATTGATTAAGCAGACAAACTGTTCACTGGATGTTAGTATTTAGACCCACATTAAATACAAAATTAGGCTCATATATTGGAATCATAGCGAAAGATAGTCGTTTATCGGAGATTAACGCCTGACTAAATTAATTAAGGAGGTATATCGGGGTCCGAGGGAAGTGAGAATCCCAGGGGGGGTCCTATGCTCTTCTTATGTTACTAAAACCCGCTGCCAATTTGAAAAAATTTAATTCTATTGAAATTATTTGCGATAAACATTATCTATATAGCAAAGAAATCTACACATATGCACTAATTGCACATATTGACTAATCAACAATATAAAAATATCATATTTAAGTAGTTTTAAATTATATTTAATGAAGGCATAAAGACTATGTAGATGTGGCAACAGCGCTAATAATTGACTAGCAGTTGTACACACTGCGAACCTACAGACCTCGGACATCGGAGATATTGCGCGTCAAATTCGGGTAAAGATGCGTACGCGTTCAAAAATGTATTGTGTGTAAACTATGTACAATATAATTATTATATATAGCAAATATATCGTATTATCCTCGCGAAGATTTGTATCCTTTATTTAAAATCCGTAAATCATGTGAACTGGTAAAACAACGAGAATTATGTTAATTTAGTTCTAAAGAAATTAAATGAAACTCGCGCCCATCTCCTCCAAGTCAAAGAAAATGTTGGATGCAATTTTGAAGGTTCTGTGATAGAAATTACATTATACATTTTTGAAATATATTTCTACTCATATTTTTTTGTGTACGCTTAGTTAACAATTCAATTAACATTAGCGTTTGTTTCTTGAAATATTGGAACACTTTTAACCATTTTTTTATTTTAAATTTATGTTCTTCGTCTATATTCTCACCTCATTATTATTTATAACCCTAATGAAGATTTTAAATACCTTTAAAATAGCGTAAAAACTAATTTTCTGTATGAATCATTTAATACAAGTGTAGAAAACAAGCTAAACTGGTTTTCTTCTTGCAATCTGCTTACATAAGCACTAATTGTTTTGTAACTAAGTGACATCTATCCTTTTCGTTCCAAGAAAATTGCAATTCCTGCCGGAAGTTAAAAAATTTCATGAATGTATGAATATAATAGCATTTGTTGTACCAATATCTGATTTAAAGCCATACTGATTGTTTTATAATGATTTTTGACATTTTTTTCCAATAATTTGTTAACCTGACGCTTAACGATTATATAAAAATTTGTACGATACCGTTTATATATAATTGACATAAACTGATAATTTGTTAGTTTATCATCAGTTGGCACATATTTAATCATTAAGTCACGAAGTATCAGAACCACATCAGGCTGATATTTTTAAATTACTATCAAAACAATCTTCTTTTACCTCCTTTCCTCATCTTCCGATTTTATGTCAATACTTTCAGCTTTGATTGACATTTCCATCTCTTTAATATCGAATTCCTTGTCCAGGTTTTCAGTTTTAACAAATAAATCCAGTGGGGACGTATCTATTTGACTTCCTGTGGCTGAACTATCAAAAATACTTTTAATTTTTTTTTGTACCTCTGAGCAATCTTTTAGGAAACTGTTGTGAGTACACAGAGAATCGAAGCATGGCTTACAAACAACGGGGTCTTTGATGATATTTATATTCTACAAAGCAATTTTGTTAAATTACAGAATGTGCAAGTGTTTAATATCATTGATACCATCTCGGGAGCCAATTTCTCAATAGCTTCAAGTTCCACTTCACGTATGCACCTAAACTCACTTTCTATTGGATGCATACACAATCGACATATTTTCTGACTGCAAACTAATTCACTTTTCTTTTCCTGCATGTATACTTCTCTCAAGTCGAGCTGTAACATTTTTTCGCTATCCACATAAGGAATAATTATGTTATCGGTATTCAGACATGTTGACTTAAATTCTAACGCCGCATTTAACTTTTTTCTGCAAACCTTACATATGACCTCTTTGCTCACATCAAATTTCTGAAAAATATGCAACTTTAAACAGAAAATAAATAAGTGTAACGGAAAATAACAGTTAAAAACTAAAAGCTGCTTTACACTTGAGACTGCTAGGATCTAATTTAATTATAATTCACTGACTTACCAATTTCAGCAAAAGAACATCTAGGATGTCTAGAATGACGTTATCTATCGCTTCAAAACTTTCGTCGGTTATATTTTTAAGGCAAAGCCTACACGAAGTTTCCTTAACATCAGCCATTGCTCTCCAGCAATCTTCTTTTACGTATAAATAGAACACAGATACAAAATAAAATATAAAGCCTTCGCTTCTAACCTATGCATTCTTAATTTTCTTGCCCTCAGCAATGACAGCATAATTGTGTTTGGGTTGATTAGGTTAGGAACAAAGATTAGAGATGGGCGGTAGTGATGTCAATATTGTAATTATTCGTTACTGGAATAAGTAACTGATGCTGAGTAATCGATGAGAAAAGTATTCGGTAGTAATACTTTATTCATTTCCAAGCTTCGATACATGTAATCACGATAATCGGTAATACTCGGACTAGGTTCCGTAATATTTAGTGAACGCGTGGATTTCAGATTTGGAATTGTATTTTACTGAAGCGTCTAGATACAATAATTCTTAACGGGTCTCGGAATATTTATCATGAACTCGTTCGACGGGTATCGCAAGGAAAAAGTAGTCGCGTAGTCGTCATCCTATAGGATTGTTATTTAATAGTTCAGTCAAAATAGACATTTCAAATAACGAAAATTCCGACAGTCAAATTTTAGTGGAGTCCTTGGGTACACCATTAGAAATAAAGACACTTTATTAAAGTGTCAAAAGTCCCCATCGATCCCGTATTGTCGTCGTGCGCATGCGTCAAAAGCATCGCGTGACCTTCAGGCCATTTCAGCCGGGTTAAATATTGCCGTTTCTTCCAGTTCCGAAAAAACTTAATTCTAACTGGGGTCGATTAGGGGCCGAAATTGGTATTGAACCTTCTCCGTGGTTTGCAGGGACGCTGGGATCCTCAAATACCCCTTCAAGGGATTCAGAGACTTTATTCTTGAATTATAGGGAATAGAAGGAACGAGAGAAAGGAGGCGCGTCTCTACTTAAACTCATTAATCGGTATGCTTGAATGGTGTTCTATTGAGTAATGATAGAAGAATTGCTCCCTATTTCTTCTACTGATATTTTCGGGGGAACAGGCAGGGATCATTAAACCTAACCCTAAATTTTTTGACATGTTTCACAAATTACGAATTCCGTAATTCTATTTCTGTTCTATGTTTTTATAAACCATTAAATATATTAAAAGGATTTATCAACTGTATTTTTTATTCCAATTAATGTATCACAGCTTCATAGTCTTTTCTAATTAATCTAGTTTTTTTTTAACATTAAAAAAATAATCTGTTGTGGATAATTTTTCCTTGATAACAATGTACATGGGATTTGGGAAAAATGTATATGTTTGAAATCAATTTCGTTTTTATCAAGTCTTTCAAATGTATTCCCCTCCTTGCTGTCAGCTGATTGCGACGTTGCCACATTATTCCTCAAGTCAGACAGAAATGCAGTTATTGGTTTCTGTTTCTAATTAATACAGCTGTACTGTGTTCAAAACTTACATTAGTTTTACATAAAAAATAAGATAATACTGTGTACTATCTATGGAAAAGTATTGTTTCACAATTTCTATTTTTTTCTGTTATGGGCAAAAAAGGAGCCGCACCGTCCATCTTCGCCATATAAACCTATGTTAAAATGAACAACTTTCAACAATCTCAANTATCTATGGAAAAGTTTTGTTTCACAATTTCTACATTTTTTTCTCAGTTATGGGCAAAAAAGGAGCCGCACCGTCCATCTTCGCCATATAAACCTATGTTAAAATGAACAACTTTCAACAATCTCAAAATCTAGATTAAAAAAAAATTCAAACAAAATATGACGCACAGAGAAAGGGAGCACTGGCTAATACGCTATATAAATTTCAAGTACATCTGCGCATTTTAGTAAACCCGATGTACCTCCTCAAATATCTGAAAGTTTAATAATTATAAATAGATAACATAAACATATAACATTTGAAAGTATGCTATTGAAGTCTCCGAGTCTTTTGTAAAAAAACTCCCACACTGCTGACATTTCCCTGAGCGCCTCATATTAATTTTTAAATCGATTATGATGTAAAATCAGTATGCTACTTTTAAATATGTACTATTTAATTACTACAAACAAATAAAAATTTCGACTATGTAAGGGTAAACCAGTCAAAAAACGCCGAATTACCAACTGTAATTTTTGAATATTTAATTTCATTAAGGACGGCGATGATGGTTATAACAGCTCTGCATTCACTTGCAGGCAACGATCGATAGCGCTCGATATCAGTTGAAGTCAGAAAGCAGGCATTCGCAGTTGTCGAAGCAACAGCGGTTGAAAGTAGTAATGAATGATTTTATTCGATAGTCAATACTATTCGTTTAGTAATTATTCGATAGAAGAATTGATTCGATAGTGCCCATCATTAATGAAAATGGCGCACAATTCAAATCTTGCATTACATTTGGGACACCTTTTAGAAACACGACCCGATGTAATGTATACCAACTTTAATTCAAATATCTCTACTATTTCGAAAATGGTTGACATTTTAAAACATGTTACAACAAACAAAAGTACAAATACGTACAAAATAGAACTGAGACGCCCCTAATAGTTGATCTCCCAACGCACAAATGTGATATAATTAAGTCAACAGCTTTCTATTATAAATATCATGTATATTTATTTTACATTAGACCTATCAATTAATTACATGTTCTACACAGTTGACAAGATTGCTGTTTAAAATTAATGTACAGGTAACATAACTTGGCAAAGTTTTGAACCTTTTGTCAATCAGCAGACCATCATATTGTAAAAAACGGGAAAAGTATCGGTGTCATAACCACACCTGTCGCTCTTAATTTATCAATATTTTGCACAACGAATGAAGGGTATTAGTTCACACCTGCAAACCATTTTTTAGCATCAGTTGAGGTCTCCTCAAAGACTCCTTAAGTTCAGTTGTAAACAAAGGATACTGGTACATTTGCATTTACGAAAATTCTTTATGCTTCAACATGTGACGTTTGATACCGCTCCTGTATTTAGTTTCATAATCGCAGTCATCACATCTGTACTTTCGAACCCGTGAAGGATCTTTATGTTTCAGTTGGTGACTTTTGATGTACCTTTTATATTTAGTTTCGTAATCGCAGTCTTTACACCTGTACATTTGAACCTGTGAAGGATCTTTATGCTTCAGTTGGTGCTTTTTGAAGTAACTCTTGTATTTAGTTTCGTAATCGCAGTCATTACACCTGTACATTTGAACCTGCGAAGGATCTTTATGTTTCAACTGGTGATTTTTGACGGCATACATGTATTTATTTTCGTAATCACAGTCGTTACACCTGTACATTTGAACCTGCGAAGGCTCTTTATGTTTCAGTTGGTGAATTTTGATACTACTCTTTAATTCAGTTTGGTAATTGCAGTCGTTACACCTGTACATTTGAACCTGCGAAGGATCTTTATGTTTCAGTTGGTGANTGGGCAAAAAAGGAGCCGCACCGTCCATCTTCGCCATATAAACCTATGTTAAAATGAACAACTTTCAACAATCTCAAAATCTAGATTAAAAAAAAATTCAAACAAAATATGACGCACAGAGAAAGGGAGCACTGGCTAATACGCTATATAAATTTCAAGTACATCTGCGCATTTTAGTAAACCCGATGTACCTCCTCAAATATCTGAAAGTTTAATAATTATAAATAGATAACATAAACATATAACATTTGAAAGTATGCTATTGAAGTCTCCGAGTCTTTTGTAAAAAAACTCCCACACTGCTGACATTTCCCTGAGCGCCTCATATTAATTTTTAAATCGATTATGATGTAAAATCAGTATGCTACTTTTAAATATGTATCAGTCGGTCAGAAAGCACGCATTCGCAGTTGTCTAAGCAACAGCGATTAAAAGTAGTAATGAATGATTTTATTCGATAGTCAATACTATTCGTTTAGTAATTATTCGATGGTAGAATTGATTCGATAGTGCCCATCACTAATGAAAATGGTGCACGATTCAAATCTTGTGTTGTTTTTGGGACACCATTTAGAAACTCGGCCCAACGTAACGTAGGTACACCAACTTTAATTCAAATATCTCTACTATTTCGAAAATGATAGACATTTTAAAACATGTTACAACAAACAAAAGTACAAATACGTACAAAATAGAACTGAGACGCCCCTAATAGTTGATCTCCCAACGCACAAATGTGATATAATTAAGTCAACAGCTTTCTATTATAAATATCATGTATATTTATTTTACATTAGACCTATCAATTAATTACATGTTCTACACAGTTGACAAGATCGCTGTTTAAAATTAATGTACAGGTAACATAACTTGGCAAAGTTTTGAACCTTTTGTCAATCAGCAGACCATCATATTGTAAAAAACGGGAAAAGTATCGGTGTCATAACCACACCTGTCGCTCTTAATTTATCAATATTTTGCACAACGAATGAAGGGTATTAGTTCACACCTGCAAACCATTTTTTAGCATCAGTTGAGGTCTCCTCAAAGACTCCTTAAGTTCAGTTGTAAACAAAGGATACTGGTACATTTGCATTTACGAAAATTCTTTATGCTTCAACATGTGACGTTTGATACCGCTCCTGTATTTAGTTTCATAATCGCAGTCATCACATCTGTACTTTCGAACCCGTGAAGGATCTTTATGTTTCAGTTGGTGACTTTTGATGTACCTTTTATATTTAGTTTCGTAATCGCAGTCTTTACACCTGTACATTTGAACCTGTGAAGGATCTTTATGCTTCAGTTGGTGCTTTTTGAAGTAACTCTTGTATTTAGTTTCGTAATCGCAGTCATTACACCTGTACATTTGAACCTGCGAAGGATCTTTATGTTTCAACTGGTGATTTTTGACGGCATACATGTATTTATTTTCGTAATCACAGTCGTTACACCTGTACATTTGAACCTGCGAAGGCTCTTTATGTTTCAGTTGGTGAATTTTGATACTACTCTTTAATTCAGTTTGGTAATTGCAGTCGTTACACCTGTACATTTGAACCTGCGAAGGATCTTTATGTTTCAGTTGGTGATTTTTGACAGCACGCTTGTATTTAGTTTCGTAATTGCAGACGTTACACTTGTACATTTGAACCAGTGAATTATCTTTATGTTTCAGTTGGTGACTTTTGATAGCATTTTTGTATTTACTTTCGTAATCACAGTCGTTGCACCTGTACATTTGAACATGCGAAGGATCTTTATGTTTCAGTTGGTGACTTTTGATGTACCTCTCGTATTTAGTTTCGTAATCGCAGTCTTTACACCTGTACATTTGAACCTGCGGAGGATCTTTATGTTTCAGTTGGTGCCTTTTGATAGCATTCTTGTATTTACTTTCGTAATCACAGTCGTTACACCTGTACATTTGAACCTGCGAAGGCTCTTTATGTTTCAGTTGGTGAATTTTGATACTACTCTTTAATTCAGTTTGGTAATTGCAGTCGTTACACTTGTACATTTGAACCTGTGACGGGCCTTTATGGTTTAGTTGCTGCTGTTTGATATCACTCTTGTATTTAGCTTCGTAATCGTAGTCTTTACAATTCTGCAAAGGGTCTTTATGTCTCAACAGGTGCCTCTGAAGTAATTGCTTATTTTTAGTTTCATACTCACACGATTCACATTTATATACTTCCGAATCGTTCTCGCATCTCGCACAGTGTGCCGTAAAACAGGTCTCACTTTCAGTTTCGTAAATACATTTATCACATTTGTACAATACTTTGCGCTCCTGCTTGGTTTTCACTTCTGATCCATTTTCGTGTTTACATGCATCCTCTACTTCATCTTTACAGTCACTCTCCTCGAATGGTACAACATTGGAGATATGAAGTGGCGTGTCCCTGAAAAAAATTGCAAATACAGGATATTTTTGAAAATCGGGTTTTAATTTTAAGAGGTTACAGGTGACACATATCAAAATATTGTCTTTAAAAAAAATTACTCTAATAAACGGGCATATTTACATTCGAAGTTGATGAGATGTGGTTATTAATTATACATTTGTACCAGCACACAGTGGTCGGAATTCTGAAAAAGCTGGACAAAAGTCAAAATTTCAAAGTCGTTGGTTTGTGTTAATACTTCAGAATATTCTAGAGGAGTCACTACGTAGTTCTTTAAAGTGACAGAGAGCTGACCTGTGTATAGACCACAGCAACTATCGGAAGTAGACCTCCGGAAAAGCGGTGAATTGAAAATACCTGCAAATTTTTTCTAGAGTATGGATCATTGTGTGCAATAGAGAGAGTGTTCCTGGAGTTAAGTAGAATACATTTGCTCATTTAGAACCTCATTTTTCAAAACTTGCATGTTTATACATTTCTAATTTAACATTTTCCATGCCATTTTATTTTTCTTTTGCTAAATTTCATTATTTTATGGATACATTTTATTAATTTAAACTGACATTTTATCAAAATTTACATTTTATTATGAACTGTCACTTTTTTTATCTAACCGTCACCTAAATTATGATTATTATTTCGTCACCATTTATCCAGTATGTCCTTACTTGATTAAATACAAAATTAGGCTCATACATTGTAAACATAAAGAAAGATATTCGTTTATCACAGATTAGTACCTGACTGAATTTTGAAATATATTTCTACTCTTACTTTTTTGTGTAGGCTTATTTAATAATTCAATTAACATAATCAGAATTTATTTCTTGAAATATCGGAACATTTTTCACAATTTTTTTGTTTCAAAATTATGTTCTTCGTCTACATTATTATTATTTACAGTTTTGTTGAGGATTTTAAATAATACCTTTAAAATAGCTTAAAAATTAACAAACCAGGCCAACCTGGTATTCTTCTTGTAATCTGCTTACGTAAGCACTAATTATTTTGTAACTCAGTAAGACCTATCCTTTTTGTTTCAAGAAAATTGCGATTTCTGTCCAAAGTTAAAAAAATTTAGTGAATGAATGAAATTCAGTATAGCATTCGTTGTACCAATACCTGATGTAAAGCCATACTGATTGTTTTATAATGATCTTACATTTTTTCCAATAATTTGTTAAACCTAACTCTTAACGATTGTTTAAAAATTTATATGATACCATTTATTACTGACATAAACTCATAATTTGTTAATTTAACGTCAGATGATACAAATTTTATCATATACCACTTGGTGCTATTTTTTAAATTAATATTAAAATAGTCTTCTCTTACTTCCTTTCTTCATCTTCCGATTTTATGTCCACATATTCAGCTTTGATCGACATTTCAATCTCGTTAATATCGAATTCCTTGTCCAGGTTTTCAGTTTTAACCAATAAATCAAGTGCAGACGTATCTATTTGACTTCCTGTGGCTGAACTATCAAAAATACTTTTAATTTTTTCTTCTAGCTCTGAGCAATCTTTTAAGAAACTGTTGTGAGTACACAGAGAATCGAAGCATTGCTTGCAAACAACGGGATTTTTTACTATATTTATATTCTACAAAGCAGTTTTGTTAAATTACAAAATATGAGGAAAATAAATATTTTTCATACCATTTCAGGAGCCAATTTCTCAATGGCGTCAAGTTCCACTTCACATATGCACCTAAACTCAGTTTCTACTGGGTGCATACACAATCGACATATTTTCTGACTACAAGAAATATCAACTAACTCGCTTTTCTTTTCCTGCATGTACACTTCTCTTAGGTCGAGCTGTAACATTGTTTCGTTATCCACATAAAGCACAATTGTCTTATCAGTATTCAGACATGTTGACTTGAATTCTGATGCCTTACTTAACTTTCTTCTGCAAACGTTACATATAACCCCGTTGCTCTCGTTATCAAATTTCTGAAAAATATGCAACTTTAAATAGAAAGAGGATAAGTGTAGTGAAAAATAAAAGTTAAATACTAAAAGCTGCTTTACACTTGATACTTTAGGATCAAATCTAATTATATTTCAATGACTCACCAATTTCAGCAAAAGAATATCTAACATTTCTCTGATAATGTTGTCTACCGCTTCGAAACTTTCATCGGTTATATTTTTAAGGCAAAGCCTACACGAAGTTTCCTTAACTTCACTCATTAGTCAGCAACAATCTTCTTTTACGTATAAAAAAGAACACGGATATAAAAAACAAAAATATAAATCTTCACTTCTAACCTTCTTGGCTTCTTACGACTATCAGCACAGTTGGGGACTGTGGTTGGTTAGGAACACAGAACACAGTATACTAATCAAATAGTATACTGTGGTTAGTAGAGATGAGCAATATTTCGACACCGGTGAATTAGAACCGGTGATTTCAAAATCACCGGTATTCCCGGTTACTGCAATTTTAAAATAACCGGTTTGCAGTGACTACGTCGGGTATTTGCGATTTGTGCTTGCTATTTCATTTCAGTGATTGTTGACCGGCGATGTTGCGAATCATGCCGATTGCCTTCGCCTGTGGTCCGTGGTTGGCAATGTTTTTCACTGGGTCCCCCTAAACAAGAAATGTATTTCCTTCCCGATAGCGATCGTGTTCGCGTCATCTAGCGGTATACGACAAAAGTTTTGTTTAATACAGTCTTGTTTTGCAGATTGCAGCAATTTTAGAGTTTAGTATTTACATTTTACGATTTGGTTAACGTTAAATTTTAAAACTTTAAGTTAAGAATATTTTATAATTAAATTTACCGGTAAGTGAGTGTAACTGTATTATGTTTTTTATTTATATATTTATATATATAGACTGGTAAAGAAACAAAAGATGTCGGGGCGTCAAAATAAAAGTAGTTTATGGAATTTTTTCACACCCGTCCCGGAGGAAGACCACAAAGCGTCCTGCAATATTTGTAAAAAGAAATTATCATATAGGACAACAAATTCTAATTTAAAAAAACATATGACTACAAATCACCCCACAGTTAATTTAACTCGCGAGATACGGGCTTATGAGCCAAATATAATTGAAATTGTTAACGAGCCCGGTCCATCAACAGCTATCGATAACGGAAACTTGACGCCAAAAGTTGTTTCTAACCCTGGAACTTTAAAACAAAACTTCGATTCCAAAAGCGCTGTTATCAGAAGGACAAATCAGACAACACTCTCATCCTACATCCCCCGAAAAATTAATTTGCAATCACAAAAATATATTAATGAGAAACTTTTAAAGTTATTTACAAAAGATTTGCAACCATTTAAAGTAGTGGAGGATCAAGGATTTCGGGAATTTATTAACGCTTTAAACCCAGCATATCAGTTACCAAGTAGGCATTATGTTTCGAAAACAATGTTGCCCGCAGCCTATGAAACATGCTTAAACGATACACAGGAATTGGTAAAAACAGCAAGGAGGGTATGTTTAACTACGGATACCTGGACATCGTTGTCGACAGAAAATTATATGGCAGTAACTATTCATTTTCTCAATGAAAATTTTAATTTAAAATCTATTTTACTTGAATGCGCTGTTTTATCAGGATCGCATACATCTGCTAATTTAGCAGAATCGCTTAATAATATTGCTGATAAATGGGAAATAAAAGAAAAGATTATATTAGCTGTTTCAGATAATGCAGCAAATATAAAGAAAGCCCTTTCTGAGCCTCCTTTGCAGTGGAAACATTTTGGATGTCTAGCCCACACAATCAATTTAATAGCCCAAGATAGTCTAAAAATTCAAGAAATAAAATGTCTCATTGATAAATTTAAAACTATTGCGGCGTATTTTAGACGAAGTCCTCAGGCAACCGAAAAACTTTTAACATATCAAAAATGTCATACTCCAGACCAGCCACCATTAAAATTAATACAAGATATCCAAACACGATGGAATTCTACATACTATATGTTGGAAAGATTTGTACAATTGGAAGATACGGTAAAAAGTACAGTGGCCCTAATTGAAAAGGATCTTCCACATTTAAGTGCACTCGACTGGCAGGTGGCTAAGGATTTGTGTAGAGTACTAAAGCCGCTGGAAAATGCAACAAAAACGATCAGTGGGGATCAATATATAACAGGATCAATGGTAATTCCTTTAACAAATGGAGTTTACAGTGTTTATATGAATTTAAAAAATAAAAATAATATCCAGGAAAGTGCTATGAAAGTAGTTATTTCCATTATAAAAGGGTTAGACGATCGACTTGGTAATTTAGAAAGAAGTAAAACATTTGCAGTTAGCACATATTTAGACCCCCGATTTAAAGCGTATGCTTTTAAAGATGAAATATGTGCAGAAACTGCCAAAAAAATAGTTACGGCCGCCGTGGCACATCATGTTTCATTAAAAGCAAAACCAACTGGTGACCAAGTCGAAAAAGTGCCAAATACTGAAGACTCTCGTGTAGATGAAGATGACGAATTATCAATTTGGAGTTCCCTAGAAAAATCAACAGCTACCGTAAAACCGAAAGGAACTGCAACGTCTAGGGCCCTGATGGAAGTTCAGCGATATATGGAAGAGGATTTGCTACCCCGAAACGATAATCCTCTTGACTGGTGGCGAGAACATAAATACAGTTACCCATATTTAAGTATTGTCGCTCAAGAAAAACTCAGTATCGTCGCTACCTCGGTACCATGTGAGCGTATTTTTTCTAAAGCTGGATTGGTAATTTCAGATCGCCGAAATAGACTAAGTGGCAATAAAGTAGATAAAATTTTATTTTTAAATATGAACACTTAAGTTTTAGGTACCTACCTAACGACATATTTTAATATTCATGTTTTGTTTCCTTTTTACGAGTTTATTATTTGTTAGATATCCTATCTAATTTAATTTTGTTATAAATGTCTATTTGTTTTTTATTTTTTATATATTTATTTCCGTTAAAAGCATTGTATTTATTTATTTTTATAATTAAAATATATGATATAGTAAAATAAATTGTTTTAAATTATTTAAATACCGGTCTCCAATTTAAAAATATGCGACAAAATATAAACTATCAACCAATAGAATCTGATATTTTAATGTTATTATTACATATTACTCAATAAACATTGCAAGTTAGAACAATTAATATTTTCTCCCACCGGCGAATCAGTGAAACAGCGACCCGACACACCCGACCAATACCACGGAGATGATCCAGCTCGATCAAAACCAGTGATTTTCGCCGGTAAAAATCACTGTTATTTGTGAGTCGCTGATATATTATTATCGGTGATCGCAAAATCATCGGTAAGCTCATCTCTAGTGGTTAGGAATAAAGATGGGCGATGGGCGAAACAACACTGCGCTGACCTTCGTACCGATTCCAGTGAACCGGTCCTGTGCACTCGCGCTCTCTCGCAATTCATTCGGTTCGTGACATTGAGGATAGGTGAAGCCACAAGTTAAGCTATCAATTGATTTACTAAAATGAAAGAAAAAACGCCGCAGGCGAAAATTTTCAAATTTTCAAGGTAAACGGCTTTAAATGAATCTGTAAATTTTTAGTTGCACTTAGTTCGGCTTGTGGACTTTTACGAACATTAACGCACACCCATTAAAAAAATTAAACACTTTTATTGCCCATTTATTCAATGTTGAAATAGTTAGAAATTACAGCAAATTTATTACAAAAATTATTATTACTGATAGGGGCAGAATTTTGTTCAAAATTAATTATTTCCTTTCACTGCAATTACTATATTACTTAAATTCACTTAAATTAAAGTAAATATTAAACTATCCTACATTACATTTCACAGAAATTACAATATAAAAAGATAAAGGAAATGAAGAAACACAATTAAGTGAGTTAACACTTGTTATGTGCAAACTTTTAAGTACTGCTTTGTATTTATCAGTCGATTACAGTCAATCAATATTGATATGAAACATTCTAGCAAACTTGCAATCTTACACACTAATACAGTAAAATTACATAATTAAAAGGAGGACTTTGCTTGAAATTTACTGCAAAATTTCTTATGTAATGGGTAAATTAATTCTAAGAAAAAACGAGAAATTAATTTTATTTCAATTAATACTTGTTAAAGAACCCCGCACAAAACATATGGACATTGAACATCGGTCAATTTTTATGAAACTTCGTATTTTGCTAATCCTCGTCAAACTCATCAAAAGTCTCAATGGGCACCAAGCCCTACAACCCCTTTCAACCCCCCAAACCACCCCCAAAGATCAGGGTAATGAATTTGACAGATTACAGGTTAATTGGCTTACCGTAATATTTCACTATTGTAATCGAACCTACATATACCTATACCATAACTAGGCTTGAGACTATCAATGGGCACCGAGCCCTACAACCCCTTCCAACCTTCCAAAACCACCCCCAAAGGTCAGGGGACTAGACTATCAATAGGCACCGAGCCCTACAACCCCTTCCAACCCTCCAAAATCACCCCCAAATCCCACGGTTGGGGTCGGACCAACCCCAGTTCTTATCGAAGCCTGACATGACTTTTCCCTGCTTACGGCGTATAAAACCGTTCAATCTTGAATTCCATCCTACACCCATCTTATTGTTTAATACCCTTTAACCCACAAAAAGTACCAAAACCTACCATAAGATTTTTTGCTGTTTGCTGTACGTTCGACTGCAGTAGTAAAATATTTCGGTAGTTTCATTGACTGATAATATGTCAAGTGTATCCCCTGACCTGTGGGGGTGGTTTTGGGGGGTTGGTGGGGGTTGTAGTGCTTGGTGCCCATTGATAGTCCAAGTCTAGTTATGGTATAGGTGTCTGTAGGTTCTACTACGGTAGTGAAATATTACGGTAAGCCAATTGACCTGTAATCTGTCAAGTTCATTACCCTGATTTTTGGGGGTGGTTTTGGGGGGATTGTAGGGCTTCGTGCTCATTGAGACTTTTGATCAGCATGATGAGGACTATCAAAATACGAAGTTTCATAAAAATTGCCGGTGTTCAATTTCCATATGTTTTGTGCGGGGTTCTTTCCCAGTGATTCGATACTTTGTAACTTTGTTACAAAGTACAGAGCAAGCATAGCATATTTGAACGTCGCTATGAACATTTTTAATAGTCTTTACGAGTCTTGCAGCACGAAGGGCTTTTTATGTTGCAGTTGATGCCGTTTGATAGCATTCTTGTATTTACTTTCATAATCACAGTTGTTACACTTGTACATTTGAACTTGCGAAGGATCCTTATGCTTCAGTTCGTGCACTTTGATATAACTCTTGTATTTACTTTCGAAATCGCAGTCGTTACACCTGTACATTTGAACCTGAGAGGGCTCTTTATGTTTCAGTTGATGCTTTTTGACAGCATACTTGTATTTACTTTCATAACTGCAATCATTACACCTGTATATTTGAACCTGCGAAGGATGTTTATGTTTCAGTTGGTGCTTTTTGATATTACTCTTTAATTCAGTTTCGTAATTACAATCGTTACACTTGTACATTTGAACCTGCGAAGGCTCGTTATGTTTCAGTTGGTGATTTTTGATATTACCCTTTAATTTAGTTTTGTAATTGCAGTCGTTACACTTGTACATTTGAACCTGCGATGGATCTTTATGTTTCAGTTTGTGATTTTTGATATTACTTTTGTATTTGGTTTGGAAATCGCATTCGTTACACCTGTACATTTGAACCTGCGATGGATCTTTATGTTTCAGTTTGTGATCTTTGATATAACATTTGTATTTAGTTTCGAAATCGCAGTCTTTACACCTGTACATTTGAACCTGCGATGGATCTTTATGTTTCAGTTTATGATTTTTGATATTACCTTTGTATTTAGTTTCGAAATCGCAGTCTTTACACCTGTACATTTGAACCTGCGATGGATCTTTATGTTTCAGTTTGTGATTTTTGATATTACTTTTGTATTTAGTTTCGAAATCTTGCAAAGGATCTTTATGCCTCAACAGGTGCCTCTGAAGTAATTTCTCATTTTCAGTTTCGTACTCACATTTATAAGCTTCTAAATCATTCTCGTGTCTCGCACAGTGTACCGTGAAACTGCTCTCACTTTCAGTTTCGTAATTACAGTCATCACATTTGTACAATACTTTGAGCTCCAGCTTGGTTTTCACTTTTGATGCATTCTCATGTTTACGTCCATCCTCTTCTTTATCTTTACAGTCACTTTCCTCGAATGGTACAATATTGGAGCTCTGAAGTGGCGTGTCGCTGAAAAAATTGCAGATACAGGGTATTTTTGAAAATCGGGTTTTAATTTTAAGAGGTTACAGGTGACACATGCCAAAATATTGTGTTTCACAAAAATTATTCTAATAAAGGGGCATATTTACATTCGAAGTTAATGAGATGTGATTATTGTATACATTTGTACCACCGTACGGAAACAACTGAGTGCTTGCTATCATTCCTATCACTATGTGTTATTAAAAAGGATAGTAACTTTCAAACATTTTCACAAACAAATATTCAATTATAAGTTTATAAACTCCGCAAGGCATTATTTCATTTTTATTCTAGTGAAATAATTAATAATTAAAATAATACATTGGAATCATAGCAAAAGATACTCGTTTATCGGAGATTAGCGTCTGACTAAATTAATTAAGTTCGTTACAATGAATTATTTTCCTTCAATGACAGTGATTTTTGAAATATATTTCTACTCTTATCTTTTTTTTGTGTAGGCTTAGTTAACAATTCAATTAACGTAAAATAAGCATTCGTTTCTTGAAATATGGGAACTTTTTTAACAATTTTCTTGTTTTGAAATTATATCTCGTATATATACTTAATCTCTTCATTATTATTTACAGTCCTGATGAAGATTTTAAATAATACCTTTAAAATAGGGTAAAAATTAATTTTCTGTAAGAATGATTTAATACTTGTGTACAAATCAAGCCAAACTGGCTTTCTTCTTGCAATCTGCTTACATAAGCCCTAATTATTTTGTAACTAAGTGACATCTATTCTTTTCGTTCCAAGAAAATTGTGATTTCTGCCGGAAGTTAAAAAATTTCGTTAGAGGAAAAACAAGCAACTGTGCAATTTTGTAGCCACAACCTGCTCCGATGACAATTTTATTTTTGCCCACGTAAATGCAAATTACATACAATATTTTAAAAATCTGTTTACACCAGGTGAAAGATATCAATTTTTGCCATGAAATTTTATTAAAATAAGTTTTATCTATCTCTTAAAATAAAACAGTTAGACCTCCCTAANAAATTTTTGGGTTGCATAGACTTTGCCTAGTCATTCGAAGGTCATATAGAAAAAAAATCGTCTCACTCATATTTTTTCCATATTCTACATCCATTCAGCTTTCATTTGCAACCAGGCTCATATTTTTATCTACTCTCTGAGTCAAGATATTTGATTTTTGTACAAACAAAAAAAAATGATACATAGTGCGGCGCTTGTTTCTTCTTTTTAATCAATCAATGAATATGCTTCACCTATTCTCAATGTCGCAAGCCGCCACTGGCTAAATGTAACATTATTAGGTATTTTTTTATTTATAATTTATTTGTTTATATTTTTGTTGCAGTTTAGAATACATATTTGTTGGTTTAAAATAGCAGTATTCCATTTCTAATCATATAATCAATTATTTATCGAAAAATAAGCAGATGCCACTTATTTTAAACAAATGACATGAGCCACCTATGACTGAATATTTAATCCATTCTTCCTCTCAAAGTAATTAATGCTTTTTGTTGTATTTTTGTAATTAAAAAGAAAATATGACCCTATTGCCACTGCACTTAACCCACCGCTGAATAAAGTAAATCACTGCCTGCCGTACTTTTGGGACGCCATTTAGAAACTTGACCCAATGTAACGTACCTACACTAACTTTAATAAAAAATATCTGTACTATTTCGAAAATGGTTGACATTTCGTTTATGAAACAAAGTACCATCATTCTTGGTTGTTCTATCCGCTCCTATTGTCTGAGAGATTAAAATTGCGGCGTCCTGTATAGTCGATCTCCCAACCCACAAATGTGACAATGGATTCAACAACTCTCTATTATAAAAATCATGTATATTTATTTTACATTATACTTTTCTATTAATTACACGTTCTACAGAGTAAACAATATCTCTGTTTCAAATTAATGTACACGTTTAACATATAACTTGGCGAAATTGTAATAATAATCTTTATTTGAAAATAGGAAACATCCTAATATACAAAAAATTTTTTTTTGTTGTCACCAAATTTGACTCCATATAACTTTTTATAATGCAATATAAAATTAAACTAAATAAGCTACATTAAAAACTAGCTAAAAATTATACCGGAGAACAGGGTGAAAACAAACTTACATTACTAATATATCGACTTAACGTACTCTAACATTTTCTTTTTAAATTCCCTCAACGACACAACATTAATGACATCATTTATCATTTCATTCATTTCATATCATCCAAGACCTTTATATAACGTATTTCTGGTCAGACTTAAGGCATGCCTTGGTATATACAAATTATTATTAAATCGTATATTATACTGATGAACCTCATTCGCATAAACTATATACCTCTGAAGGTAACGAGGGACCAAGCCATTAATTATTTTAAAAACATATATCATAGCCATAAACAGCAATCTATTCCTAACACAGATCCTCTGCAGAGATGACAACATAACTCGTATAGGGGTATGTCTGCTACATCTGATAATAATTCTCATTCCTCTGTTTTGTAATTTTTGTAGAGCTCCAATTTTATTGAGATCTAATGAATACAACAAACTAGCACAGTAATCAAAATGTGGCTGGATTATTGTATTATACACAGTTATTCTTGATGCCATAGAAAGATGCTGGGATACCCTTGAGGAAAAGAGTAACTTCTTAATTATTTTCCTTTGAATATAACGAGCATTCAAATAAAAACGTGGTCGAAGTTGGCTCTGACACATTGGACGTAGGGAGTAGCTTATAGCGACCAACTTAACCTCATTTCTCAACGAGCTGTATAGCAGCTGTCAGTTTCAATAACGTTAATGACTATATAACTTTATTTTAAAGAATAATCGTGATAACAATAACAAACAATTAAAGGACCTGCTGAAAGTGTCCCCCTCTTTGTTATACCAATAAATTAAAGCAGCTGCTGAAAGTGTCCCCCTCCTTGTTCCAAGCACTTTTCACACCTGTTCCTCAAAGAATTAAAGACATTTTCTAAGATGCTCGGGGTATTGTTAATTTCACGAATCTTGTCTATAAGTCGAGCCTGCAGATGGTTTAAATCAGGAAAAGGCAGTTCAAAAATAGTGTTTTTAAGGTAAGGCCACAAAAAGAAATCACACGGCGTAATATCACATGACCTCGGTGGAAATTCATGTTCAGCATTGAGACTTATTAGTCGATTTTGGAAAACTTCCCTCAACATATTCATCGTTTCGCCTGCCGTATGTGCCCTTGCGCCATCTTGTTGAAAGTAAAAGTTTGTAATTTCGTTTTCTTCCAGCTGGTTAACAAAAGGAGCGATAATTTCTTCTCTATACCTTTGCGCAGTAAGAGTACCATTAAAAAAAATAGGTCCATAAATCCTCCTTCGATTGAGAGCACACCAAACTCCAATTTTTTGAGCATGTAGAGGGCCCTCGACAAAAAAGTTATCTGTTTTTTCAGAAGACCACATTCTCATATTCTGTGAGTTTATTTAACCACTTAAATGAAACCAGGCTTCATCAGAAAAAAAGGTGATATTATGAAGTTCACCGTAGTTGTTTAAAAACCATTCACAAAATACAGCCCGTCGCGGAAAATCAACTTCATGAAGTTCTTGCTGACAAGTTAAACGATAGGAGAACAAACGCAAATCTTTTTTTAACACTGTGTGGCAGGTACCGACTGATACTCCCACCATTTGTGATAAAACACGTACAGAAGTTCTTGGCGCATTTTCCATTATTTGTTGGACATTTTCTTTTAATTCTTCAGTCCGCTTTTTAGGTCGGCCGCTTCCTTCTTTTCTTGTTACACTGCCCGTTTCACGAAAAACATTAACACAACGCTGAACTGCACTTTGAAAAATTTTGTACTCAACAACGCCGGGAAATTGATTTTGAAATTCTATGAAACATTCCTCAATAGAATACTTCCATATTCCATCAATCTTGCGTCCATTTCTAAAGTAGGACTCTATCATAAACACTTTTTGTTCTTGAGAAAACACCATTTCAAACGCTTTTTAAAACGAAAATATTCAAATTGATAGTGGCGATATAGCGCTTTGACAGATGACGTTTAAGTTCATTTGCTATACGCTACGCCCTACGTTCAAATTTTCAGAACCAACTTGACCACGTTTTTATTTTTGTAAGGCTCGTTACAAAAAGTGTGCATTAAATTGAAGATTATTATCAATCATAAACCCCAAGTATTTTATTTCAGTCACAATATTAATTATATTATCATCTATCTTTAAATGTATTAAGTCTTTATTAATATTTCTGTACTTAAATGAAGTTGTAATAATCATTGCTTTAGTTTTATTGATATTCAATTAAAGTTTATTATGTTTTAAATATTTAGTAATGTCAGTCAATGCTAAATTCATCCTATTTATAGCTGTGTCCAAACAATTACTGGTAACTGACAGCAAGGTGTCGTCTGCAAACAAATTTAAGAAAACCTCATTCTGGAAATCCTTAATGTCATTAATATACATTAAAAACAATAACGGTCCCAAGGCACTACCTTGGGGCACACCAAAGCTATTAGTTTTTGCACACTGTCCCTTTTTTTTAGTAACCTTACACCTGTCAGTCAGATAATCCCCGAACCACTCTAATACCTTTCCTTCTATTCCAAATTTGTTAAATTTTAATAGTAACATTGATCTATCTATGGTCTCAAAAGATCCTTTTAAATCTAGAAAAACTGCTACAGTGTAATCTCCCCTATCCAAATTCCTTTTCCATTCAGTGATCGTCGATTGTAATGCAGATTCACAGGAATGTTTAGCACGAAAATCCGATTGATTAGTAAAAAGCAAATTATTCTCATTTACATTATTCATATAGTTGTTAATATACCATCATTTCCAAAAGTTTTTCGCAACTTGGTAAAGTATTAACAGGTCTAAATTCCCAGGACTTGATGGTGCCACTAACCTTTTCAATTGGAATAATTGTACTAGTTTTCAAATTACTTGGAAACATACCAGATTCAAGAGAGCAATTTATGAGAAGCAGCCGGACATGCCCCGCTACTTCAAATGAAGATTTAATAACTCTACTGTTTAGTACATCCATGGTAGAACCTTTACTGTTCGATTCTCCCACCAATTTACCCAATTCTCGAAAATTAAGCGTTTTAAAATTAGTCCAGCGGGCATCTGTATAATTACCATTATCAACTTCATATTGTTGATTGCCAATGCTATCAATTACTTCTTTAATACTATCTACGAAATAAATATTAAAATGTTCAACAGTATCCATATCACTTCTAGTTATGTAAGTTTGATCACTGACATCAAAGTGAATACCTGTACTAAAATTATCATTGAAATGGATGGAATGATATGGATTATTTGTGTGTTCATCAATATTATTATAATAAAACAGTTGATTTTTGGTTTTCAACAGATTAACAACCTGATTCCTCAATGCCTTATAGTCATTCCAGTTTACATTAGTATTATTATTTATAAATTTTTTATATGCACTATCCCTTGCCCTACTTTTACGTCTAATTTCATCATCATACCAAGGTAATTCATTTGAATAACATTTAACATTTTTTATGGGGGCAACTTGGTTCAAAACATATTCACAGTTATCATACAAGTTGGCAAAAACCCTGTCTATATCTGTACAACCTAACAAGTAATTACAATCAATCACACCAAGATTAACCTTAAATAAATGCTCGTCATTTACGGCCCTAAAACTCCTTTTTATATTATTAATAGTATATACTGAGTGATTTACAATATTGACCGATATTATTATAAACTCTTTGTCAATCAGCAAAGCGTCACATTGTATAAAACAGGAAAAGTATCGGTGCCATATCCATACTTGTCGCACTTGAATGCCTCCACTTTACCAATATTTTGCACAACGGATGAAGGGTAACAATTCACAACAGCAAACCAATTTTTATGCATCAACTGAATTGTCCTCAAAGACTCCTTATGCTCGGTTGTTAGCAAAGCATACCGGTACATTTGCATTTATGAAGACTCTTTATGCTTCGACATGTGACGAGCGATACTGCTCCTGTATTTAGTTTCATAATTGCAGATATTACACCTGTACATCTGAACCTGTGAAGAGTTCTTATGTTTCAGTTGGTGCTTTTTGATATAACTTTTGTATTTAGTTTCGTAATTGCACTCACTACACTTGTACATTTGAACCAGATCTTTATGTTTCAGTTGGTGGCTTTTGATAGCATACTTGTATATAGTTTCGTAATCACAGTCGTTACATCTGTACATCTGAACCTGTGAAGGATCTTTATGCTTCAATTGGTGGTTCTTAATATGGTTTCTGTATTTAGTTTTGAAATTGCAGTCATTACACTTGTACATTTGAACTTGTGAAGGATCTTTATGTTTCAGTTGGTGCGTTTTGATAACGTCCTTGTATTTAGTTTCGTAATCACAGTCGTTACACCTGTACATCTGAACCTGTGAAGGATCTTTATGCTTCAATTGGTGGTTCTTAAAATGGTTGCTGTATTTAGTTTCGTAATTGCAGTCATTACACCTGTACATTTGAACCTGCGAAGGATCTTTATGTTTCAGTTGGTGATTTTTGATAGCATTTTTATATTTACTTTCGTAATCACAGTCGTTACACCTGTACATTTGAACCTGCGAAGGCTCTTTATGTTTCAGTTGGTGAATTTTGATATTACCCTTTAATTCAGTTTGGTAATTGCAGTCGTTACACCTATACATTTGAACCTGCGAAGGATCTTTATGTTTCAATTGGTGATTTTTCATGTAACTCTTGCATTTAGTTTCGTAATCGCAGTCTCTACACCTGTTCATTTGAACCTGTGAAGGATCTTTATGCTTCAGTTGGTGCCGTTTGAAGTGTCGCTTGTATTTAGTTTGGTAATCGCACTCTTTACACTTGTACATTTGAACCAGTGAAGGATCTTTATGTTTCAGTTGGTGATTTTTCATGTAACTCTTGTATATAGTTTCGTAATCGCAGTCTTTACACCTGTTCATTTGAACCTGTGAAGGATCTTTATGCTTCAGTTGGTGCCATTTGAAGTAACTCTTATATTTAGTTTCATAATCGCACTCTTTACACTTGTACATTTGAACCAGTGAAGGATCTTTATGTTTCAGTTGGTGCCTTTTGAGAGCATACTTGTATTTACTTTCGTAATCACAGTCGTTACACTTGTTCATTTGAATCTGTGAAGGATCTTTATGCTTCAGTTGGTGCCTTTTCATGTAACTCTTGTATTTAGTTTTGTAGTTGCAGTCGTTACACCTGTACATTTGAACCTGTGAGGGATCTATATGCTTCCGTTGGTGCCGTTTGATGTAACTCTTGTATTTAGTTTCGTAATCGCAGTCTTTACACTTGTACATTTGAGTCTGCAAAGGAAGTAATTTCTCATTTTCAGTTTCGCAGTCACAGGACTCACATTTATACGCTTCCAAATCGTTCTCGTGTCTCGCACAGTGGTCCGTAAAACAGGTCTCACTATCAGTTTCGTAAATACATTTATCACATTTGTACAATTCTTTGCGCTCCTGCTGGGTTTTCACTTCTGATCCATTCTCATGTTTACATCTATCCTCTTCATTTTTACAGTCACTCTCCTCGAATGTTACAACATTGGAGCTCTGAAGTGGCGTGACGCTGAAAAAATTGCGAATATAGGGTATTTTTGAAAAACAGGTTTTAATATTGAGACGTTACAGGTGGCACATGTCGAAATATTGCGTTTACCAAAAACTTACTCTAATAAAGGGGCATATTTACATTTGATGTTGATGAGATGTGAATATTAATTATACATTTGTACCACCGTACGGAAACAACTCCGTGCTTGCTATCATTCCTATGACCGTCACTCTTAAACTTGATTGAATTATGTGTTATTAAAAAGGATAGTAACTTCCCAAGATTTTCACAAACACATTCAATTATAAGTTTATGAACTTCGCAAGGCATTATTTCGTTTTTAATCTAGTGAAATAATTTCCATGTTGTTCAAATAGTGTAATAAAAATGTATAAATTTGAAATAAGACAAATAATTTCGTGTCTGGACATTTTATTAATAAGAAATTCAGATCAAGCAGTTGTGTTGTGACATTTTGGCAAGGTAAGTCTGTAGCTGGCAGCGACCAGGTGCAGACTTACTGGTGGGATTTTGAATTGTCATTCCCCTCACCCCTTACGACAAAAGGTAGAAATTTTGAAAGGCACACACAACAAAATTCTAATATTAAGTAATATCTCAATAAGAGTACTCGTCAATTTAAGCAAAATAAAATCTGACGAGTATCATGTTTCTCTTCACAATAGTTGAATCAACGAGAGTACTAATAACATAGTTTTAATTTTAATGATGAATCGATTCAGATCTTTAATACCTAATTTAATTATCAAAAAAAGCATTTAAGGCTATTGTTACGGTTTCTTGATTTTTTTTTTTTAGTTCTTGTTCATTTAAATTTAGTTTTCCGTTAAATACCCCGTCCATTGTTATTTTTTTTGTACATTCGCTCGCTCCCCCCTATATGTCCAGAGCTCCATGGTTCGACAGGAAGTCTTTAAAGCTATCGAGTCACGCTGGTGCCCGTTTTTAATTCCGCTTTCTGATTTTCGCTAATAAAATTAAGTGCAAAAAGGTGAAGAAAAACCATCTCCAAGTTTTTTTCGACATCGCCAACTATACTTTAAATATTATAAAATTTTTACAGCTATGTATAAAATCATACAATAAATCCGTAAACAAAATGTCAGAAACAGATAATAGTTATTTATTGTATCAGTGTTTTAAGTAGCATTTTATCCATTCAAGAATGTTTAAATGCGAGAACGTAGTTCGAGCGTTTAATAGTCTTTAGTGGATAAATGGCAATTATAACACCAATGCAATATAACACTTTATCCGTAATCACATCACAATCATATTTGTGGAGAATTATTGGAATTTAATAAAAAAAATATTGCCACGACTTGATATTTCTTACTACTGTAGATGCTCAATGAACCGTGGTAGGTTTTGTTATATCTACTGGTTGCTATGGTACGTTGTTTATTATCAATTATTTAATAAATAGTTCTGAAATTGGTAAAAATACAAGAAAATAATTGTGTTCCTGTGGCTGTGTTTGAAGAAGCTCAAGAATCAGGGAATATTCTCCTTTTTACTAGCACTGATATCTGAATTACTGTTTGTGTTGGTTTTTTATTCAGTTGTTTTTGTATATCTGAAAGTTTTTCCTCTAATACCTGTTTCTTTTGTTTTAGTAACACATTGTTTGTCCGTAATTCATTTATAAGTTGCTTTAGGTACATATTCTCTTCCTTTAAAGATAAATGAGAATTATGAATCCTACTTTCTATACAAATAGATTCCTGTTGGCTTGTACCTTCAAAAGATGTTGAACATAACCAACGTTTACCAATAGAAGAATTCTTCTCCTTTATGTATTCAAGCCTTGAAAATGCTTCAATTGCTTAGCTTAGTATAAAGGTAAGTTGCGTTAAATTACCATATTTTGGGTTCCCTTGCTCTATGTCAGTTCTTATGCGAAACACCCTGTATACAGGGTGTCCCAGATAGGCTTAAAAAAATTCAAATAACATTTTTCGTTTTAATGTCGCAATTCCGAGATACAGGGTGATAAAGTTACATTTAAGAAAATTTTTCTTAATTATTTAAAACTGTTATAGATAAAATTGTGCACGAGCCAATGTGAACCGTACGGTAAGAAAAACGTGAAAATATTAAGAAAAGCAGGGACGTGCATGCTGGCGGCTTTAAGGCTATAATTAAGAAAGAAAGTACGTTAAAAGTCAAAATTGTTTAAATTTTCAAACCGTTTTAAAAACGCCAAAGATTGATACAAACAAGGTATGCTAGTCGCGATTCCATAGGACGTACTGTTTTCGAGGAAGATTGAGTTAAACTTGTTTGTTTGTCAAGTACTTTGAAAATGTGTTGAGAAATTTCACCGAGTCCATCGTAACGCAACTTTTCAATTAAAAAATCTTTAAAATACTTCTACCGTCTTCCTTTCGAAAACAACCGATTGATTTGAAATTTGTACGATTTAATATGGAAGCCAAAGAAACAATAAAATGATGGCACTATGAAAATAAACACGGACGACAGACGCCATTGAAAAATGCACAAATGTCAATTTAGCGTCATCGGTCATAATGATTCGTGTACAATAAACAGTAACAAACCATTGCTTCTACATTCGAGATAATTCGATCCCTGATTGGTCGAATGAAATGTCGTGAAAAATTACACCAATCATCGAGCGGTAAAACCAAATGTTGCGTTTTGATGTAGTCTTGATCTTATTGTTTTTTTACCAGAATTTAATGGCCAACATGAAGGAAATAAAATTACTGATCACGTGGCTTGTAAACATTTATGAAGGCTTCATATGAACCACCCCACTATTTTTTCACGAAGAACACTCTGTATATCCGTTTTAAAATCATTGAATAACGGAAGAAATTGGCCGTTTTGATCATTTGCTGCTCATTTTGGTCCCTGACTTTTGCATTTTTTTTAACCGAGTGCTATCATGAAAAATTTTGATCAAAACACCTACATCATATTTGATATGTTTAAAGATTTCACACCAAGCTTTAAAATAAAATTGTCGGATCATTGTAAAACCAAAGAGAAAAATGAAAAGACTTTGGACTTACTTATAATCTTCAGATTTTAATTCAATTTTTTCTGTGATAATATGGAATAGATTTTCTATGGTTTTGTCGACAGAAATATTTTTAATTTTCTCTTCTATGTTAAAACAGCCCTTTAAGAAACTCGTGTGGGTGTTCAAAGAATCGATACAAGCTTTGCACATAACGGGATCTGTGGTGGAAGTCAAGTTCTGCAAGAAAAAATCTACTTCAATTTCTTTTCTAATATGAATATAATTCGAACAAAAATTTGTTTCAAAAAATCAAATAACGTATTTACCACTTCTGGAATATATTGACAGAGTGTATCGACATCCACTTCTTTTACTGGTGTAAATCCACAAGTGACCACTTGCATACACAATCGACAAATCCTCTCCTGATCCAACATATCTTTTAAATGCTCTTTACGTCTTTCCTTTAGATAAATTTCTCTTAGGTCGACCGGCGTCCCCCTTTCAGAATCGATATATGGAAAGATACGGTCCTCGGTATCCGTACACGTTGCCTTGAAATTGAATGCCGCAAACAGTTTAACGGAACAGGCATTGCACATTATAGATTTGTTCTTTTCTTTTTCGTGCTAAAATATAAATGATATAAGTAATGTCTAAAAATCGCAGCGGTATTTCTTACTAGTTTGAGCAAAAGAACATCTAGAACCTCTTTAATAGTTTCTTCTATTACTACGAGATTTTCGTCGTTCACGACAATAAGGCAAAGCCTACAGGACGGTTTTTCTTTAAACATGCTTTATAGATTTTCAACATCAATGCTAAAATATTTTATAAGAAAAAAATACTTTTCACACAACACGAACCTACAAAAAAGGTTGCACCATAGAACATTTAAATACATTAATCAGTTACATTATTGTTCTATGGTTTGTAGCCTAGGTAATATGGGACTGTCTCTCTTTGTTTTGTCCTGCCTTATCTCTGTAGGTGTAGGCAGCCTCGTGAAGGTGGGCCCCATCCATCGTCTACCCCAACTAAAAGCATGGCCGGTGTAGGTTGTACATAAGGCATAATAGCTGTATTCTTTTTACTACGTTTAACTGAGATTAACTGAGTCACTCAGTTCGTCTTAGTAATTTAGGAAAAAGTATATGTTCTTTTAATATGGCTTAAGTTGAGTACAAAGTGAAATTAACTAAGAAAATTTCTTCCCCCCTTTCCCCAACTGAGCTAGCTTTTCATAAAACTTAGAAGTGAGTCGTAACGTGAGTTGAAAACTTTTTGCGTTCTGTGCCGTATATTTGTAATGTTCAAATGTTCCATTTCATATCTTACTTAAAAGTGTGGTTACTGTACCATGAAATATATGGAGGTTTGTCCTTTACATTTTTTAAAATGGAAAATAAAAATGTAATATCTACACATTCCTATAATATAGTATTCGATAATCATAACAATTGTATTAGAAACGAAATATGAAATCTTAGTAGGGTAGTAGTAAAGTATACTTACCACAAAATCATTTTTATACAACAGTTAATAAAACAAAAATCCTGTTGGAAATAAAAATGATTTATCACATACAAATGTAAAAATATTAGAGGTTATAATTGTGATTTGAGATCTGTAACTTTAATGCATTCTTTTTAGACATAAATTTGCCTCGATTTATCTTACTTCATCTCAGCTCAGTTTGTCTTAATTATTCTTACAAGTGAGACAGTCGGCTGGTAAAAAGAATACAGCAAATGTAAAAGAATAGCAAGATTTTAGGCCACTTGAACAACGTAAACGTTATAGTTATACTGTTCATGCGCAGTAGTTCGAAAATAAACAACTTTAATAGAGATATTGAACCCCAGATTAATTCAATCTGGGCTTCAGTCGAGGGCGTTTTGTCATCCTTCGGGTGCTTATGAAATACTTAAGGGACCCTTTGGCTCAAACTCACCCTTAAGGTAGAACTATGAATACGGGCCTTAGTGCATGCGGTAATTAGACATCTAAGCATGCGCAGTTGCATACAGCTGTCGCGCTGCCGTAATAACGATAACGCCTGGTGTAATTTACGAACGTATAGCGCATCTAGCTCGCAAGTGCTTCGTGTGATGTCGGAAAAGCCGACGACGATTAAGCACATAGAATATGATTAGACAAAACCAATCAAGGTCATCAATATCAAACAACTACCCTCGGATGTTCTATAACTCATATTTTCAAGACAAATTAGCGCACAAATAACGCTGCGCTTTTAACACGGTATGTGACGTTCCAATATCTCTACTAATCGCGCGCCATTATTCCATGGCTAGAAATTGGCCTCAATGATTCGGGATCGAGGGGGATTATCCCTCTTTATCCTGCCTCATCTCGTGTAGGCTTGGACAGCCTTCGTAGGTGGGCCCCATCCGTCGTCTACCCCGACCGCAAATGCGGCCGGTGTAGGCGCTTTGTTTTTGTGATGAACATAAAAATAAATCTGACTGCTATTTTGAATATTATACAAAATTGAAAAAAAAGTCAAGTGGCTTTGAAGTACTACTTGATTTTTTAAGTGCTTGCAAGATAACTATTTGATTTGAAATTCGACTAGTAAACTACTATTTAACGAACTTAACTTGATTTCAGCCAAATCAGGTCATGAATCTCCAACAATGAATCTAATAATAAAGATTTGCATCTAACTTGTTTATTAGATATTTTTTCAAGATTTATTATAGCCGTTGATAATAAAGTAGGTATATTATTCGCTAACGAAGTGTGTCCCTATCTACAATGTCCGTTCCAAAGTTTTTTTGACAAAACCGATTTATTTTATTCAAAATAGTCCGACCCAATACAACGATTTGCACTGCCTAAATGCATGTCGAATAAGTATTTTAGATCGTCGGCCAAGATATCCTTCAGGATGTCGGTACAAGCCTTTTGGATGATTTCTACGTCCACAAACCGTTTTCCTTTAAATCGGCAAATGTATTTTTCCGAAAAGAAAGAAGTCGCATTGACAGTTAAATTGCGATTTTTAATCAAAAAATCGGTCACAAGTGTCGATCGATGAGATGGCTCATTATCGAGCCAATGTAACGTACACCAAGTTTAAGAGATTGAAATTGAGACGCCCTGTATAGTTGATCTCCCAACCCACAAATGTAACAGTGACGTCAACAACTTTCTATTATAAAAATCATGCACATTTATTTTACATTAGACCCTTCAATTAATTACATATTCTACATAGTTACAGTATCGTTGTTTAAAACTAATGTATACGCTTAGCAAACTATCACGTAGTGAGAAACGGAAAATGTAGACTTAATTAGGTATTAGTGAATTGTACAAATGCTAGTCCAAAATGACTTGTCGGCCTCTGTTTCAGTCCGGTCTTCGTGTTCCAACCGATTTATTTCAATACAGTTGATAACGTTTGATTTTACCCTTTAATTTACTTTCCAAATTTACTTTCTGTTGCAGTTGATGCTGTGCGATAGTGGTTAAATCTCTACATTTTCACCTGCGAAAGATCAATATGTTTCAATAGGTGCCTTTTGATAATACATTTGTATTTAGTTTCGTATGTGCAGTCTTTACACCTGTACATTTGAACCTGTGAAGGATCTTTATGTTTCAGTTGGTGCTGTTTGATATGACCCTTGTATACAGTTTTGTAATTGCAGTATTTACACCTGTACATTTGAACCTGCGAAGGATCTTTATGTTTCAGTTGGTGATTTTTGATATTACTCCTGTATTTAGTTTCATAATCGCAGATGTTACACCTGTACATTTGAACCTGCGAAGAATCTTTATGCTTCAGTTGGTGCTGTTTGATGCGACTCTTGTATTTAGTTTCGTAATCGCAGTCGTTACACTTGTACATTTGAACCAGTAAAGGATCCTTGTGTTTCAGTTGGTGCCTTTTCATAGTATTCTTGTATTTACTTTCATAATCGCAGTCGTTGCACTTGTACATTTGAACCTGTGACGGTTCTTTATGTTTCAGTTGGTGCTGTTTGATATAACTCTTGTATACAGTTTTGTAATCGCAGTCGTTACATCTGTACATTTTCACCTGCGAAGGATCTTTATGCTTCAGTTGGTGTCGTTTGATATGATTGCTGTATTTAGTTTCGTAATTGCAGTCATTACACCTGTACATCTGAATATGTAAAGGATCTTTATGTTTCGGTTGGTGAAGCTGGATGTGACTCTTGTATACAGTTTTGTAATCGCAGTCGTTACACCTGTACGTTTGAACCTTTGAAGGGTCTTTATGCCTCAACAGGTGTCTCTGAAGTAATTTTTTATTTTCAGTTTCGTACTCACACGATTCACATTTATACAGTTCCGAATCGTTCTTGTGTACCGTAAAACGGATCTTACTTCCAGTTTCATAAATACATTTATCACATTTGTATAGTACTTGGCGTTCCTGCATGGTTTTCACAACTGATCCATTTTCGTGTTTACATCCATCCTCTATTTCATTTTTACAGTCACTCTCCTCGAATGGTACAATATAGGAGCTCTGTAGTGGCAAGTTGCTGAAAAAATTGCATATACAAGGTATTTTTAAAAATCAAATTTTAATTTTAAGGGGTTACAGGTGATACATGCCAAAATATTGTGTTTAGCAAAAGATTATTCCAGTAAACGGCATATTTACATTTCAAGTTAATGCGATGTGATTATTATTTATACATTTGTACCACCGTACCACAACAACTCAGTGCTTGCTGTCATTTCTATCATCATCACTGTCAGAATTGATTGAATTATGTGTTATTAAAAGGGATAGTAAGTTGTTGTTGTTTGACATTTTGGTAAATCTGTAGCTGGCAGCCACCAGGTACATTCGCCACGGCATACCAACCGAAAAAACCACAGTACTTTAAACCTATTAGTTCTAGTCGTCTTTTGAATTGTCACACACAACAAAATTCAAATTTTAAGTAATACTATAATAAGAATACTCGTCAATTTAAGTAAATACTAAAATCAAACGATTATCTTGTTTTTACTTTCAAGGTTATCCATGACCATAATACAGGGTGGGCCACCAGTAACGCCTCGATCGCTAGGGCCCAAACGGCAAATGTTACAGACACCTGTTTAGGTGGGTATATGTAGGTTGATTACAGCTTCATTTTAAAAGTATTTGGAAATATACAGGGTGTCCAGGAAAAGGCTACCATATCAAAGTTATATATTTTTTTATTGGACCCCCTTTTTTTTTCTTGCTTTTTTAAAGGCCCGTTAAAAAATAGGTGAACTTTATTAAAGGTTCTGCATACCTAGGACTTACAGTTTGTGAGATATTTCAATATTAGTGAAAATGCAGGCTTAGAGTAGAAATTTAATATTTGCCATAAAAAAATTATTTTAAGGAAGCAGCTTTGGAGAGTGTATTTTAGATCCTTGAACTTATAAATTATTATATTTGTCGTCACTTAGTATTATACAGGGTGTTCAAAAAACTGCTGTATACTTCTCTCGATTTGAAACAGCAATAACTTGGTTATTTTAAATGGGACACCCAGTATATTTTTACTTTGTGAGTTAGAAAATCTAAAACTCTTTCAAAATGTGTGTAGGTTCCCTATACCTATCCCTAACGGTATTGGAGATATTTGTGCCGTTTCGTTTTTTTAACGAATTTTTTTGTAAGATGTATCCACATGTCTTTATCGAGGTCTTTATTGAATTGGTTTGGGTTCTTCTTGATGACTTCTCTTTAAATATAAGGAGAAAAATGTGAATGCAATTAGCTAGCGCAGCTGCACATTTTTCATATTCAGTGAGAAATTATATAAATCGAAAATTTAGTAATAAATGAATAGGTAGGAATGGTCAGTGGCTACCTACGTGCCCAAACCTCCCGCAATGGACTTCTTTGTTTAGGGCTATATAAAAAATCTAGAGTTTTAAATTTCCTAACTCCCGAAGCAAAAATATATTGGGTGTTCCATTTAAAATAACAGCAGTTTTTTGAACACCCTGTATAATACTAAGTGACGACAAATATAATAATTTATAACTTTCAAGGATCTAAAATACACTCTCCAAAGCTACTTCCTTAAAATAATTTTTTTTATTGCTAATATTAAGTTTCTACTCTATGCCTGCATTTTCACTAAAATTGAAATATCTCACAATCTGTAAGTCCTAGGTATGCAGAACCTTTAATAAAGTTCACCTATTTTTTACGGTGCTTTTAAAAATGCAGTAAAATACAGGGTGTTCCATTTAAAAATACATAACTTTGATATGGTACGCCTTTCCTGCACACCCTGTATATTTCAAAATATTTTTAAAATGTAGCCGTAATCAACCTACACGTACCCACCTAAACAGGTTTCTATAACATTTGCAGTTTGGTCCCTAGCGACCGACGCGTTACTGGTGGCCCACCCTCTATAATCAACAAAAGTACTAATAGAGCGAGAGCCCGCGGCACATTTTAGTGACTAATAGTACCAAGGCTGATTTTCATCCATGTGTAAGGTCTTTCACGGTACATAAGAAAACAACCTTCAGCTGCTGGTCTTTAGGAGGAGGTGAGACTAATATGGCCACTACACGCCTTGAGAAATGTCAAAAAAAAAGAATAGTGCCAAAGCTGAAATTGTTTGTATACTTTGTTTATAACAATTAATGATAAAAAACACGTTCAGCAGAAAAAATGCCGGCTTCAGTTACGCATATAAACAGGTATGATCTCACAATTTTTTTTTTAGAAAACTTATGGAATGAAATAAAATGTGGATTGTAGTAGCTCTTATATTTTAGTGTTCATCTTTGTCAAAAGGAATGAAAGAACAAAAAATATAAAATACTTCTATGAATGATTATTTAACAATTTCAATGTATCAAGTGTGAGTTTTCGTATTAACCATACATATTTAGTCAAATCATTTCTAGTGTTTATTTTGTATAACTATTTATTACTAGCTATTACTAGAAATCGCTGTGGTATATTCGATGCCAGTCGGTATTGCACGAAACAGTCGTTTCCTGCAATATCAACTGTTAAGACTCTTGCCTATGAATTTAAGACACTTTTTGCATAACTAGATTTCTGATATCGAAGAATATTGTTTGACTTCATTTGATAAGAATTTTTTGAGGATATTTTGTAATTTAAATTAGCACAAAAATGAATTTTCTGTAAGAATGATTTAATACGTGTATAAATCAGGCTAAACTGGTTTTCTTCTCGCAATCCGCTTACATCACCATCAATTGTTTTGTAGCTTAGTGAGATCTATCATTTTCGTTTCAAGAAAATTTCGATTTCTGGCCAAAAATAAAAAAAATTATAAATGTATAAAATCTAGTATAGCAGTCATTGTACAATATCTGATTTAAAGCCATACTGATTGTTTATGTTTAATAATGATCTTAAATTTTTTCCCAGTAACTTGTTAACCTAACTTTCTCATTGTATAAAAATTTGTACAATATACCGTTTATAACTGACAAAATCGCATAATTTGTTACAATCAGTTATCACCAGATGGTATGGTACGCATTTAATCATATAAATCGCGACGGTTTCAAGACGACCGGCTGCCATTTTTTAAATTAATGTTAAAATAGTCTTCTCTTACCTCCTTTCCTCATTTTCCGATTTTATGTCCATATTTTCAGGTTTGATTGACATTTCCATCTCGTTAATATCGAATTCCTTGTCGAGGTTTTCAGTTTTAATCAATAAATCAAGTGGAGATGTATCTATCTGACTTCCTGTGGTTGAACTACCAAAAATACTTTTTCTTTCTTCTACCTCTGAGCAGTCATTTATGAAACTATTGTGAGTACATAGAGTATACAAGCATTGCTTACACACAACAGGATCTTTGATGATATTTATATCCTACAAAGCAATTTTGTTAAATTACTAAATATACAATTATTTAATATGGTTTGTACCATTTCAGGAATCAATTTCTGAATAGCTTCAAGTTCCACTTCACGTATGCACTTAAACTCACTTTCTACTGGGTGCATACACAATCGAGATATTTTCTGACCGCAAACTAATTCACTTTTCTTTTCCTGCATGTACACTTCTCTTAAGTCGAGCTGTAACATTTTTTCGCTATCCACATAAGGAATAATTGTGTTATCGGTATTCAGACATGTTGACTTGAATTCTAACGCTGCATTTAACTTTCTTCTGCAAACGTTACATATAGCCTCTTTGCTCTCATTACCAAATTTCTGAAAAATATACAACTTTAAATAGAACGAAAATAAGTGTAGCAGAAAATAACAATTCAATACTAAAAGTTGCTTTACACTTGAGACTATCTTCAACAAAAGAACATCTAGAATGTCTGAATATTGTTTACCATTTCAAAACTTTCATCGGCGGTTATATTTTCAAGGCAATGCCTACACGAAGTTTCCTTTATATCAGCCATTGGTCTGCAACAATCTCCTTTTACATATAAATAGAACACGGATACAAAAAATACATAAAAAGCCTTCACCTCTAACTTCTAACCTATTCATTCTATTTCTAACCTTGAACCTTTGCTTCTTACGGCAGCTGCAGCATAGTTGTGGTTGGCAATGTTGCCATATTCTTTTACGTATAAATAGAACACGGATACAAAAAACAAAAATATAAAGCCTTCACTTCTAACAACCCATGGGGGGGGGAGGAACTAGAATGGTGCTATGACTGATATGAGTAACGTGACGTCACTTCCAGCCTGACAGGTTTTTATGATTGGCAGCTGACAACTTGCTGGATGACGATTGGACCCCGACAGATTTATTAGGTTGACCATCGGGTCTTATCAAATTTGCCGCAAATTATTCGAAACAGCGCGATCCAGAATTTCTGTCATCTGTCGGAAACATCAGTTTTGTTTAGGTGTGAATTTCAGGACAAATATGTAAATTTTGATTATTATTCCTATGTTTATTACATAGGTTATCCAACTTTTGAAAATAATAAATGACATGTTTAGAAATGCATGTTTATATATTTCCTATTAGGAAGAAAAACATTAATACCTATTTATACTTCCATTTATATACGTTGTATTAACTTTCAGTGTTCAGTGTTCTTCTCACACAAAATATATTAGTCTTTTGTTGATAAAATCTATTACGGTATTGAAATGACAATCCATTTAATCTTATTTGTTTTAATTTAGTTCAATCATTCAAGAATACAAAAATAAAATTTTAATAAAACTTATATGGAACTATGTTTAACAAGTGTGATAGTAATTAAATTAAAATCTTGGCTTTAAAAACAATTTACAGAAACTTATTTACAGAAATTTAAAGGTACCACGTTTATCAGCGATTAGATTAAAACAGAAGAGAAGTGGAATATGGTACACCGTATTGTATCAAGGCTACCCAAGGGTGTGAAGTAGAATTGGAATGTAAGCAGTGAACTGTCCAGCCTCACTTCCAACCTTCGGTTCTTGACAATTCATTAGACAGTAGTTAGTTCCTGACAAATTGTTTATCATCAGATTTATTGCTGGAGTAGTTTTCCAGGAATAGCACAGCAATTAGTTTCTATCGTCTGACTTAAATTTGTTTTACTGTGATGGCAAGAATGCAAATTATAAGGTAAGTTTTATATCATTTATTATATATGTCAAGCACTCGCGTAAGCACCAAAGCGATTGTTTCTAAATGATAATAAACTTTCTTAGACATGAATTATCATTTTAAATACTTTACATTAGATTCAAAGTAGCCAACACCATTAGTTTCATGCATTTAATATAAGAACGCATAAAGTAATGGCCATATTTTTTTAGGTTGGACTCGAGTTTGTAATCTAGATAAAAATTCTCTAAGACAGACACATTGATACCAGTGTTCACAACCCGAAGTGAGGCAATTATCGTAGCCGCAGCTGACAGCCGCGACAACAAGTAAATTTCGTGGAAGAATGCGACGAATGGATGAAAGGTCCCTGGACGAAATGATTGACACATGAGTCGGCAAGACAGCATACGTCCTAAGGAAGGAATGAGCCAATAGATAGCGCAGTTAGAAAAAAGAAAGAATCATCGCGTTATTGATTAGCAGGGTACGAATAAAATTGATGAATTCTCAAAATTTGCATTATAATGGAAATTGTCATACATCGTACGTAGGCATGAAATTATCATATATGTGTGATAATTATCGTACGGTTGCGAACACTGATTGATACATGTGCCATATGAACTTGCAAGAGACACAATTCAAGACTTGTTTTAAAAAATATTTACAGAGTATTGCTGAAAAGAATACCATAAATCTGGAAGACTTAACGAGAAGGCTAACATAGTTAATATTTTGTTGAGTATTAGTTATTACTGATCTGGTGCATACAATTTATTATCCACTTAAATATATTTGATAAAGAAAAAATATGTTTATGTTTTATAATTATTAGCAGGAAACTGAAAAATTCAAGAAATAATGTTCACTGAATGATAAAACCTCTATGTTTCAATATTATCTATGTGGTCGATTACCACAAAATGTGTTATATTTAAGAAACGGTAGCAGTTGTAGAGCATAGTATCGATTTTAGTTAAACAGAGAAGAAAAACATCAATAAATAATTCTTTCCTGCCTGCCAGAAATAATCAAGATTCTCTATCGACTTGATANTACCAACTGCAATTTTTGAATATTTAATTTCATAGGGACGGCGATGACGGTTATAACAGCTCTGCATTCACTTGCGGGCAGCGATCGATAGCACTCGATATCAGTTCGAGTCAGAAAGCACGCATTCGTAGTTGTCTAAGCAACGGCGGTTAAAAGTAGTAAAGAATGATTTTATTCAAATGAATTTATTCAATAGCTTAGTAATTATTCGATAGTAGAATTCATTCCATAGTGCCCATCACTAATGAAAATGGCGCACAATTCAAATCTTACGTTGCTTTTGGGACACCTTTTAGAAACTCGACCCAATGTAACGTAGGTACACCAACTTTAATTCAAATATCTCTACTATTTCGAAAATGGTTGACATTTCAAAACATGTTACAACAAACAAAAGCATAAATAAGTACATAAAAATTAAAATTGGGACGCCCTGCATAGTTGATCTCCCACCACAAATGTGATAACTAAGCTCGCAGCTTTATGTTATAAAAATCATGTATATTTATTTTACATTAGACCTGTCAATTAATTACATGTTCTACACAGATGACAATATCGCTGTTTAAAATTAATGCACAAGTTTAACATATAACTTGGCAAAGTTGTGAACCGTTTGTCAATCAGCGGACCGTCACATTGTAAGAAACAGGAAAAGTATCGGTGTCATAACCACACCTGTCGCTCTTAATTTGCCAATATTTTGCACAACGAATGAAGGGTTATTACCCTTCATTCACGAATTATTATTATTCACACCTGCAAACCATTTTTTATGCATCACTTGACGTTTCCTCAAAGACTCCTTATGTTCGGCTGTAAACAAAGGATACTGTACATTTGCATTTATGAAAATTCTTTGTGATTCAACATGTGACGTCTGATATTGTTTTTGTATTTACTTTTGTAATCACATTCGTTACACCTGTACATTCGAACCTGTGAAGGATCTTTATGCTTCAATTGATGCTGTTTGATACGAGTCTTGTATTTAGTTTCGTAATTGCAGTCGTTACACCTGTACATTTGAACCTCAGAGGGCTCTTTATGTTTCAGTTGGTGACGTTTGATAGCATTTTTGTATTTACTTTCGTAATCACAGTTGTTACACCTGTACATTTGAACCTGCGAAGGCTCTTTATGTTTCAGTTGGTGAATTTTAATATTACACTTTAATTCAGTTTGGTAATTGCAGTCGTTACACCTGTACATTTGAACCAGTGAAGGATCTTTATGTTTCAGTTGGTGCCGTTTGATAACAATCTTGTATTTACTTTCGTAATCGCAGTCATTACACCTGTACATTTGAACCTGTGAATGATCTTTATGCTTCAATTGATGCTGTTTGATGTAACTCTTGTATTTTGATTCGTAACTGCAATCGTTACACTTGTACATTTGAACCAGTGAAGGATCTTTATGATTCAGTTGGTGACTTTTGATAGAATTTTTGTATTTACTTTCGTAATCACAGTCGTTACACCTGTACATTTGAACCTGCGAAGGCTCTTTATGTTTCAGTTGGTGATTTTTGATATTACCCTTTAATTTAGTTTGGTAATTGCAGTCGTTACACCTGTACATTTGAACCTGCGAAGGATCTTTATGTTTCAGTTGGTGACTTTTGACAGCAGGCTTATATTTAGTCTCGTAATTGCAATCGTTACACTTGTACATTTGAACCAGTGAAGGATCTCTATGTTTCAGTTGGTGACTTTTGAAAGAATTTTTGTATTTACTTTCGTAATCACAGTCGTTACACCTGTACATTTGAACCTGCGAAGGCTCTTTATGTTTCAGTTGGTGATTTTTGATATTACCCTTTAATTTAGTTTGGTAATTGCAGTCGTTACACCTGTACATTTGAACCTGCGAAGGATCTTTATGTTTCAGTTGGTGACTTTTGACAGCAGGCTTATATTTAGTCTCGTAATTGCAATCGTTACACTTGTACATTTGAACCAGTGAAGGATCTCTATGTTTCAGTTGGTGACTTTTGAAAGAATTTTTGTATTTACTTTCGTAATCACAGTCGTTACACCTGTACATTTGAACCTGCGAAGGCTCTTTATGTTTCAGTTGGTGATTTTTGATATTACCCTTTAATTTAGTTTGGTAATTGCAGTCGTTACACCTGTACATTTGAACCTGCGAAGGATCTTTATGTTTCAGTTGGTGACTTTTGACAGCAGGCTTATATTTAGTCTCGTAATTGCAATCGTTACACTTGTACATTTGAACCAGTGAAGGATCTCTATGTTTCAGTTGGTGACTTTTGAAAGAATTTTTGTATTTACTTTCGTAATCACAGTCGTTACACCTGTACATTTGAACCTGCGAAGGCTCTTTATGTTTCAGTTGGTGATTTTTGATATTACCCTTTAATTTAGTTTGGTAATTGCAGTCGTTACACCTGTACATTTGAACCTGCGAAGGATCTTTATGTTTCAGTTGGTGCCGTTTGATAACAATCTTGTATTTACTTTCGTAATCGCAGTCATTACACCTGTACATTTGAACCTGTGAATGATCTTTATGCTTCAATTGATGTTGTTTGATGTAACTCTTGTATTTTGATTCGTAACTGCAGTCACTCTCCTCGAATGGTACAACATTAGAGCTCTGAAGTGGCGGGTCGCTGAAAAAATTGCAAATATAGGGTATTTTTGAAAAACGGGTTTTAGAATTAAGAGGGTACAGGTGACACATGCCGAAATATTGCATTTCACAAAAAATTACTCTAATAACGGAACATATTTACATTTGATGTTAATGAGATGTGATTATTATTTATACATTTGTACCACCGAAAGGAAACAACTCAGTGTTTGCTATCATTCCTATGACCGTCACTCTTAGACTTCATTGAATCATGTATTATTAAATAGGAGAGTAACTTCCAAAGATTTTCACAAACATTCAATTATAAGTTTATGAACTTCGCAATGCATTATTTTGTTTTTATTACAGTGAAATAATTTTCATTTTGTCAAATAGTGTATAAAGTTGAAATAAGACGAGGAATTTCGTTTTTGGACATTTTATTAATAAGAAATCCAGATCAATCAGTTGTGACATTTTGGCAAGGTAAGTCTGTAGTTAGCACTAGCAGCGACCAGGTACAGGTGCTACGACATAACAACGGGAAGAGCCATTGCACTTTTTAAACATATTAATACCGGTAGGATTTTGAATTGTCATTCCCCTCACCCCTTACGATAAAAGGTAGAAATTTTGAAAGGCACACACAACAAAATTCTAATACATATTAAGTAATATCACAATAAGAATACTCGTCAATTTAAGCAAAAAGTAAAATCTAACAATTATCTTGTTTCTTTTCACAATAGTTGAATCAACGATAGTACTAATAACATAGTTTTAATTTTAATGAATCTATTCAGATATTTAATAATTAATTTAATTATCAAAAAAGACATTTAAGGCTATTTTTACGGTTTTTTAATTTTTTTTTATAAGTTCTTGTTAATTTAAATTTAGTTTTCCGATTAAATACCCCCTCCATTGTTTTTTTTTTGTACATTCGTTCGCTCCCCCCTATATGTCCAGAGCTCCATGATTCGACAGGAAGTCTTCAAAGCTATCGAGCCTCGCTGGCGACCGTTTTTAATTCCGCTTTCCGATTTTCGCTAATAAAATTAAGTGCAAAAAGGTGAAGAAAAACCATCTCCAAGTTTTTTTCTACATCGCTTACTATACTTTAATTATTGTAAAATTTTTACAGCTATGTATAAAATCATACAATAAATCCATAAACAAAATGTCAGACACAGATAATAGTTATTTATTGTATCAGTGTTTTAAGTAGCATTTTATCCATTCAAGAATGTTTAAATGCGAGAACGTAGTTCGAGCGTTTAATATTTTTTAGGGGATAAATGGCAATTATAACACCAATGCAATACAACGCTTTATTCGTAATCACATCACAATCATATTTGTGGAGAATTATTGGAATTTAATAAAAAAAATATTCCTACGACTTGATATTTCTTACTACTGTAGGTGCACAATGAACCGTGGTAAGTTTCGTTATACCTACTGGTTGCTATGGTACATTGTTTATTATCAATTATTTAATAAATAGTTATCTATTTATCTATCTGAAATTGGTAAAAATACAAGAAAATAATTGTGTTCCTGTGGCTGTGTTTGAAAAAGCTCAAGAATCAGGGAATATTATCCTTTTTACTAGCACTGATATCTGAATTATTGTTTGTGTTGGTTTTGTATTCAGTTGTTTTTGTATTCTGAAATTTTTTCTTCTAATAACTGTTTGTTTTGTTTTAGGAACACATTGTTTTTCCGTAATTCATTTATAAGTTGCTTTAGGTACATATTCTCTTATTTTAAAGATAAATGAGAATTATCATTGCTACTTTCTATACAAATAGATTCCTGTAGGCTTGTACCTTCAGAAGATGTTGAACATAACCAACGTTTACCAATAGAAGAATTCTTTTCCTTTATGTATTGAACACTTTAAAACCCTTCAATTCCTTAGCTTAGTATAAAGGTAAGTTGCGTTAAATTACCATATTTTGGGTTCCCCTGCTTTATGTCAGTTCTTATGCGAAACACCCTGTATTCAGGGTGTCCCGGTTAGGCTTAAAAAAATTCAAATAACATTTCGTTTTAACGTCGCAATTCCGAGATGGGTGATAAAGTTACATTTAAGAAGATTTTTCTTAATTGTCTTTAAAATTGGTAAGGATAAAATTGTGCACGAGCCAATGTGAACCGTACGGTAAGAAAAACGTGAAAACCGTTTTATTATGAAAAGCAGGGACGTGCATGCCGGCGGCTTGAGGGCTATAATTAAGAAAAAAAGTACGTTAAAAGTCAAAATTTCTTAAATTTTCAAAACGTTTTAAAAACCCCTAAGATTGATACAGAAAAGGTATGCTAGTCGCGATTCCATAGGACGTACTGTTTTCGAGGAAGATTGAGTTAAACGTGTTTGTTCGTCAAGTACTTTGAAAATGTGTTGAGAAATTTCACCGAATCCATGGTGACGCAACCTTTCAATTAAAAAATCTTTAAAATACTTCTGCCGTCTTCCTTTCGAAAACAACCGATTGATTTGAAATATGCACGATTTAATATTGAAGCCAAAGAAACAATAAAACGATGGCACCACGAAAATAAACACGAACGACAGACGCCATTGAAAAATGCACAAATGTCAATTTAGCGTTATTGGTCATAATGATTCGTTTACAGTAAACAGTAACAAACCATTGCTTCTACATTCGAGATAATCTGATCACTGATTGGTCGAATGAAATGTCGTGAAAAATTACACCAATCACCAGGCGGTAAAACCCAATGTTGCGTTTTGACGTAGTCTTCATCTTATTGTCTTTTTACCAGAAATTACTGGCCAACATGAAGGAAATAAAATTACTGATCACGTGGCTTGTAAATATTTATGAAGGCTTCGTATGAATTACCCCATTATTTTTTCACGAAGAACTAACACTCTGTATATCCGTTTTAAAATCATTGAATAACGGAAGAAATTGGCCGTTTTGATCATTTGCTGCTCATTTTGGTCCCTGACTTTTGCATTTTTTTTAACCGAGTGCTATCATGAAAAATTTTGATCAAAACACCTACATCATATTTGATATGTTTAAAGATTTCACACCAAGCTTTAAAATAAAATTGTCGGATCATTGTAAAACCAAAGAGAAAAATGAAAAGACTTTGGACTTACTTATAATCTTCAGATTTTAATTCAATTTCTTCTGTGATAATATGGAATAGACTTTCTATGGTTTTGTCGACAGAAATATTTTTAATTTTCTCTTCCACGTTAAAACAGCCCTTTAAGAAACCCGTGTGGGTGTCCAAAGAATCGATACAAGCTTTGCACATAACAGGATCTGTTGTGGAAGTCAAGTTCTGCAAGAAAAAATCTATTTCAATTTCTTTTCTGGTATACGAATGAACATGAATATAATTCGAACAAAAATTTGTTTCAAAAAATCAAATAACATATTTACCACTTCCGGAATATATTGACAGAGTGTATGGACATCCACTTCTTTTGCTGGTGTAAATCCACAGGTGACCACTTGCATACACAATCGACAAATCCTCTCGTGTTTGAACATATCTTTTAAATGCTCTTTACCTCTTTCCTTTAGATAAATTTCTCTTAGGTCGACCGGCGTCCCCCTTTCAGAATCGACGTATGGAAAGATACGGTCCTCGGTATCCGTACACGTGGCCTTGAAATTGAATGCCGCAAACAGTTTAACGGAACAGGCATTGCACATTATAGATTTGTTCTTTTCTTTTTCGTGCTAAAATATAAATGAAAGAAGTAATGTCTAAAAATCGCAGCGGTATTTCTTACTAGTTTCAGCAAAAGAACATCTAGAACTTCTTTAATAGTTTCTTCTATTACTACGCGATTTTCGTCGTTCACGACAATAAGGCAAAGCCTACACGACTGTTTCTTTTTAAACATGTTTTATAGATTTTCAACGTTAATGCTACTCACAGTATACTAATCAATTTGATTAGTATACTGTGATATTACTTAATACTTTTCACGCAACACTAACCTACAAAATATTTCTAGGTTGTACCAAAGAAAATTTAGTTACTGTTACTAGTAATTTATAAAGAATATTGTTCTATGGTTTGAACATAATTATATACAAGAAATGTTCTATGGTGCACAACGACATAGAGTTTTTCGATTTAAATGAACTTTTAGAGCATGGAGACTACACAAGGATGCCGAACTCCATGTAAACAAAAATCTTACCAAAATAAGAGAGCGCTAGTGTTCCATATATCACATATGTTGAGAGGGGAGATAAAACGCGGCAGTTTGAATTATAAATCAATCATGTCATTTTTGTGATGTGTAAAAAATTTAAAAATAAATAATGTAAGCTATTTTTAATTATATAAATAATGAAAATATATCATTCTGGACTGTAATTAAACTAAATAGGTAATAAAAATATTAGTTTTATGAGAAGAATTTGGTGTTCGTACAAACTAGTTTTCAAGGAATTTATGACGTGTCCTGTCAATATTAACCTATAAGTAAGGTTTATGTTTTTGATAATTACTTTGTTACTATTTTAGTTTAATGTAAGTAAAAAATAGTCACATTAGACGCATTGTCCAGCTTGAGTGATGATGAAATAGATTTACTCTAAGACGCAGAAAGAGTAAAGAATAAGAACTACTTTGAAATTACTGTACCTGAATATAGTGGCCAAGTTTTTTTAACATTTCTAATTATTATTTATTTATTATTTCACCCATCATTCTGGTAAATTTTGTATTGCCTTAAACTCTACAACAACCGGAAAAGTTACATACTTGCTAAGTAACTTGTCTCCACCAATTATAGAATGGCCGAGGTAATGAGGCAGTTGTAATCGAACAATATTTTGCCCAATATGAATTTCCAGGGGTTGTAGGAATAATTGATGGGACACAAAAATTGATCGGACCTTACATGATGATTTAGAAGTGCTTGAAAAAAATATTGATATATCTGCATGTTTGCCTCCAAATCAAAATAATCAAAATCGGCATTATGAAAGAGACGATAGGGAAGGAATTCATATGATAGAGTATAGCACAATCGATATTTTTTTGAATAACCAATAATATACTATATTAGTGTAACTGAAAACTGACTATGGAAAGTGGATAAATTATGGTTGGACAATTTCTAAGCTGATTGCTATGTTGTCGGTTTAAAGTTCTCAATATGCTTCGAGAGTCATATCGCTCTCTTCTTCAGAAGAGATCTGGAACGTGTCTGGAACTGTTTCTTTTGAAGGTCAGAATGATATATCTCTCAAAATGTCAAGAAGCTTAAAATAACATGACAACCAATTGATACCAAAATTTTAACAAAATATACTCCATTATAAAGGTCACGAAAAATAGGTAATCTAAATATTTTATAACTGTTTAAAATCGATTAGTTTTCTGGGTACATATTTTAAAATTGATGTAAAATTTAATTCTACTTTCGTAAAATTGTTGATTTAATTCGAACATAACATATGGTTCCATGATTTATTCCGAGATAGAGTATAGACCAAAATTAATAAGGTATTATAAAGAAATATTTTAGCAATGTTCTATATTTTTGTTATATATTTTGTAAAAATAAAATGTTTTATCTACCAAAGATTTCAATGTTTTATTAATTGATTCAAAAAACGAATTTATTTGTACCTAATTAAAACAAAAATAAATATTTATTCATAACAAACAAGTAACAGAGTAAATATAAATTACAAATAACACGGGAACTCTTCTTAAAAATAAGTAATACTTGTCAGTCTATCTTCTTTTTCTTCTTAAAATTTCATTTTGTGCATGAAGCAATTAATTTCCGTTTAAATATTTAGTAAAAGTAGTCAATTACCAATACAGATCGATCAGCATCGATTACTACACGTATCCTCTCTTTAAATTTTATATGATATCTGAATTTCAATTAGTTTTTTACTAACAGGAAAGGAAATTTTATATACTTTTTTTTCTATGAAGCAATGCCTATACCTATCACTGCTCAGAAAAGTTATTTGCATAAAAGTAAAAAAAAAAAACAAAAAATTGAATTTTTTGCATTTTTATGTTAAATTGTTTTTAATATATTTTGCAGTACATAAATTTTTTAAATAAGCCATTTCGATAGAAAATCTCATTATCTACAAAATTTTCCCTATGCAATACCCTCAAATTTTGCTTCGTTTTTGAGATATACTGAGAAATCCCCTACCTCCAATTTCCACCTTCTAAATAACCACTTGAACGATTCATGCAATAAAAACCCATCAACGTTCTAGTTCCTTAGTGCCCTGCTTTTTAATACATAATAGCCTAAAACGTACCTACCCTATTAATCTTTTTCTACTTATTTTAAAGCTTTTTTTTTTCTAAAAAAAACACATCAATAACACATAAAATTCACCAGAGTACCTTAGGTATAACGTGAATCGTTTTAGTTCCAATTCATTCGTTGTTAAATTATTTTTAAAAATTTATGATTGGAAAGTTTGAAGAAATGGAAGTATAAAAGAGAGATCTGGATCATGTGAAGAATGGTAAGCGAAAATGACCGTCAAAATGTGATGCTTGCCGTTACTGAAAATCTTCTGCTCATCTATTAGATCTATCACGGCCAACTTTAACTTCTCGAAGTCCTCCGTTCACACAACTCTGAAGTCTCAATGGCATCCTCATAAAGTGAACATCTTACAAGAACTGTGGGCAGATGATACAGACAGATGATTACAGTTTTGCGAGGAAATTAGAAATTTATTTGAAGGACGACCCAACTTAAAAAATCACAACTTTCACACAAGTGCTATAATAAATGATGAAAAAAAAACAATCATTACTGTTATCATAGTTGTCCGATGTGGAACAGTCTTATAGTACGATAGGTACAGTATTACATATAAAATCAGAGCATGTATAGTTAAATTTTATTTAATTCATTCAGGCCTACAATACAAAAACTAGAATAGGGTTTAAACCTCATTCCTATGTCTTAAAAAATCATTTAAAAAATAGTGTTACTTATAGCTGTTTTACAGTGAGAATTAATTCATGAATAAACTAATCGGTTTTTTCATAAAAGGCTTGGTTTTACATTGTTCTAAACTTTCTGAATTTCTTTGAAACAAAATCAATTACTACCAACTTTGCAGGAAAGTCTTGGTAAATAAAGACAGATTGAAAATGAACACATTTTCTTGAATAAATTGAGATAACACGAAAAAAAATTGTAATCGTACTTTGCCAGTTTAAGTATGCCTATTTATAAAGAAGTAATAATAATTTAACTTCGATATTTTTGTCGGTACTTCCGAACTTCATGAAGAAATACACGAAAATTAGAACATATTCTAATTTGTGTAGACTTATATTTTAACTGCGGGAACAATTCACGGTGTAAATTAAGTCCAGAGAGTAATTTTTCAAAATTACATATATTTATGTATAAATTTTTTTTAAATCCGTCTATTTAGATATTTGAAAACCACTTGAATTTGCTATGAAAAAATTATTAATAATAAAACCTCAATCTTTTGGTATCAAAAATAGAAACTTGCGATAACCTCCCCACCCACATGTATACAACTCGTATTTACAAAATAAATAATTTAGAACAGGAAAACACATCAACACTTTATTAACTTACATCTTATTCCAATATTTATGAACATATATTATCATATCCACATTTGTAGCTCTTAAATACTTCCATTTTTGATATTTTGCACGAGACACAAAGGGCAGTAATTCACATCTGCAAACATATTTGAAGTCTCCTCAAAAACTCATTATGCATAGAGTTTAGCAAAACATAGCACTATGATTGTATTTAAGAAGGCACTTTATACTTCAACACGTGATTTTTAATACCACTCGTGTATTTAGTTTCATAATTGCAGTCGTTACTTGCATGACTGGTATCTGTGAAGCATCTTTATGTGTCAATTGGTGTTGTTTGATACGACTCCCATATTTAGTTTCGTAATCGCAGTCATTACACCTGTACATTTGAATCTGTGATAGATTTTTATGCTTCAGTTGGTGAAGTTTAATGGCATTCTTGTATTTAGTTTTGTAATCACAATCGTTACACCTTACATTTGAACCTTCGAAGTATATTTTTATGTTTCAGTTGATGCTTTTTGATATTACTCTTATATTTAGTTTCATAATCGCAGTCATTACACCTGTACATTTGAATCTCTGATGGATTTTTATGCTTCAGTTGGTGCAGTTTAATGGCATACTTGTATTTAGTTTTGTAATCACAATCGTTACACCTTACATTTGAACCTTCGAAGTATATTTTTATGTTTCAGTTGATGCTTTTTGATATTACTCTTATATTTAGTTTCATAATCGCAGTCATTACACCTGTACATTTGAATCTCTGATGGATTTTTATGCTTCAGTTGGTGCAGTTTAACGGCATTCTTGTATTTAGTTTTGTAATCACAATCGTTACACCTGTACATTTGAACCTGTGAAGGATCTTTATGTGTCAGTTGATGTTTTTTTAAATTATCCTTAAATTTAGTTTCAAAATTGCAATTGTTACACCTGTACATCTGAACCTGAGAAGGATCCTTATGTGTCAGTTGATGTTTTTTTAAATTATTCTTAAATTTAGTTTCAAAATTGCAATCATTACAATGGTATGATAGGACCTGTGAAGCACTTTTATGCTTGAGTTGGTGTTGTTTGATATAATTCTTGTATATAGTTTCGTAATTGCAGTCATTACACCTGTACATTTGAATCTGTGAAGGGTCTTTATGATTCAGCTGGTGCCGTTCAATAGTACTCTTGTATTTAGTTGCGTAATCGCAGTCGTTACACCTGTACATTTGAACCTGGGAAGCATTTTTATGTTTCAGATGGTGCCGTTCAAGAGTACTCTTGTATTTAGTTTTGTAATCGCAATCGATACACCTGTACATTTGAACCTGAGAAGGATCCTCATGTCTCAGTTGATGTATTTTGATATTACCCCTATATTTAGTTCTGTAATCGCAATTATTAC